AGGAATTCTACCACTTGGACTTGGACATGGCCATTTGTTTTGAGGGGTGCTTCATTTGAAGGAGAAAAACACTGGTATTTCAACACAGCAATCTGGGATGACTCCATGAGATTTTGGCGTCGCTCCTAGGCAGAGTCAGGAAAAGAAGCTGCAGGAGAAGAAACGGAGGTCCCCAAACACTAGCAAATATCATTGATGTATGTACGTGCAATATAATATGTGTATATATATATATATAATATTTGTGTTTGTGTGTATATGCATATATCACAGTGTCCTATTTGATGGATGCTCCCGGTTTTTGGCGGGTTTCCAAAATGCAGCGGTTTGGTATGCTGCGGGATGCGTCCCCCAGGGAGTGCATTTTCCCGTTCCGAAAAAAAGGAAAGGCATGGGAAGCAAATTGTTTTCAGTAGAACAAGGGTTTGGCTGACTATTCTATTCACCGTTGCAATGGAGAATAGAATTGGAACACGTATGGTAAACCCGTTCTATCGGTGTTTCTATTGGTGTTCACATATGTCTTGCCGCACCCATTTGCATTTGGTGTTGCCATGATCCATCGACATTTGGCTGCCACACGGATCCCATGAAGCATGGAAGCCGTTTACAAATAGTTTCAATGATGCAACAAGGGCATGCAAGGGGCACGTCACCACCTCAAACTTACAAACAAAATCATGGCGAACCAACCCACTATTGGGTAGAAGTCAGCAGTAGGTATAGCCACACATAGGCACACAAAGACCAGCATTGGTGGCTTTCCGAGTTTCAGATGTTGCAACGGTACCATCTCCACAACGCGCAGGAACTCCAGCTGCAGTTGCGCGAGGCCCTACCTATGGGGGTATAGAACCTGGAGGTAGGCGACTGGTGCAGGGCTATACATGGAGATGCACATACAATACCCAGCCGTTTTCGTAAACGGTGTAAAAAAATTAGCCGTGTAGAATTTGCTATGTATTGGGATTTAGAATATCCTTAACCTATCTTAACCTAAGATTATTTGGCAGGTGATGCAGCTTGCAGCCGGTGGTCCTGGCCCATGGGGAAGCTGTCCATGCTCACTGCTCACTTGCCCGTTGTTGGGGATGATCGTGCAAGTGGTTGGAAGGTGAGATTCCTCCATGTTGGGTGGGGACTCCTTGAAATGTGGATCTAGCCACCCAAACTTTGCCAGGGTATCGCTCCGGCAGAGGACCTCAAACTTGGCCACATCCCACACTGCGTGATCCAAAGTTATAATATGTGCGTAATCCCATCCCCCATGAAGGTAAATCATTCATACATTGGACCTCTGAATGACTAGATCCAGTACTATCCAGTACTCAAAGAGGGTTTCTTGCAGTATTTTGGGAAAGGGATTCTTATGTGGGTTCACTTTCTCATGGGGAAGCTTGGCCAGCATCACTGCATCAGCTCTTTGGGGCTTCAGGAGTGTTAAGCATGATGCACCAAAGCCGCAAAAAGATGGTGCAAAGGCAAGCTATTTTTAATTGATTCATTCATTTATATGTTGATGCAACCACCAAAAGGTAGTGGCAACTTACCCTTTTAATTTGTTGGCGACGAACAGGGAAGACAATCTACATGTGATGATAGTGTGGTTATAAATCTGTGTTTGTCATGCTGTTCAGTATTGCTCAGATGCGTCAATTGATCGCGACAAGGTTCATGCACTATCACTAGCCATACTTCGGTGACATTGGTGCAGATTGTAAATCAACACAGTTCAGCACATCTCGGCATGTGTATACATTGTTGTTTTGATTGTTCAAGCTTCACAATGCCAAACCATTTTGCATGATGGATATGTTAGCCATCCGACTGAATCCAACTATGAAAAATGCGTCAAACACAGCAATACAACTAATCCCTTGCTCTTTATAGTTCGTTTGAAATCCTGGTTTCGTATTGGATCTGTTTATTTGGGGATCCTTATTTTGTATACTCAGTACCACGGGGGATTGGAGAGTTGAAGATCCATCATGCTGTGCGCCAAGAGCCTTTGCATAACAATCATATTATTGATATACCATGATATGGGTAGGAGGTTTAGATAAACACCCTACAGTAAATATATATATATATATAGAATAAATATAGTTACATCTATACATGCATGCATGCATGCATACATACATACATACATACATACACATACATACACACATACACACACATACATTCATACATACATACATACATACATTGTTACATACATATCATACATACATATGTTACATACATACATGCATGCATGCATGCATACATACATACATACATACATACATACATACACACATACATACATACATACCTACCTACATACCTACATACCTACATACCTACATACCTACATACCTACATACCTACCTACATACCTACATACCTACATACCTACATACCTACATACTACATACCTACATACCTACATACCTACATACCTACATACCTACATACCTACATACGTACATACGTGCATACGTACATACGTACATACCTACATACCTACATACCTACATACCTACATACCTACGTACCTACGTACCTACATACGTACATACGTACATACGTACATACGTACATACGTACATACGTACATACGTACACACGTACACACGTACATATGTACATACGTACATACGTACATACGTACATAGGTGACATACGTACATACGTTACATACATGCATTCGTTACATACGTACACACGTACATATGTACATACGCACATACGTACATACGTGACATACGTACATACGTTACATACATGCATTCGTTACATACATACATACATACATACAGAAACTGATGCAAATAAAGACCATATAGACCACATACCTTATACCTGGAGTCAAAACCCCAGCGCTTCGCCATGGCTGTAGCCTGTTCCCCCGTCTCAGCGGTCTTCGGCACGGATCCCATGAGGGTTCTGGGTGATGAACGCTGGCTGTGGACAAAGGACCAGCCGGAGGCTGGGAATCCCCTGGTCATCCATGACTTGGATGATTTTGGGGTACCACCATTTGAGGAAACCTCCAGGAAAAAAAAACTTGGAGGATGATCCCACCTAAGTCGTTAATAGCCCTGGTGATCGTAAGTCCCCTTCTTGGAGTTTTTTTTTTTGGGAGGATCTTCCAAGACCAACTTCACAAAATGCCATTGGTTATGGGTATCCAAAACCATGAGAATCTACATGAATTTGCCATAGTTTTTTTGTGCTGCTCATATTGCCATTGGTTTGGTTGGTCGAAACCTTCGATTAAAACTTGGAGATGTTGTATAACTTTGTGGAAACACTTATTTCACATCCCAGCAGTGATTGCTAAACATTAATTTGTTCTGCAAAGTTGTATTTTTGTTGTTTGCCAGGGAATTGTACTCCCACTGGCCCCACTGATGGGAGAATTGATAGAATCTATCCACAATAGATTTCCATTATTGCACGTATAATGAGCCAATCCGCAGTACAGACTTCCACACTGAAATGTCACCTGATCCGGATGTAGGTGGTTTAGGAGTTGCGGCAACCAAAGTTCAGACGCTAATATCAGGTATGAATCCAAAGTAATATATATGCAAACTTCCAACTACAGTTTTGACTTCATGATTAGAGTGCAAGATGGTAGGTTTTGGATGTTGATTATTCAGAATGGTTCCTGATATTTCAGGTTCTTGGGTTGAATTGAGGACAAAATTGCCATGTAATTTTGAGGGGTTCTCGTGCCGTTTTAATGCAAATCCAGTGAAACATCATCTTCGGTAGTTAAATCCAAATTTTGTGTGGGAAACCTCAAAACTGGTTGATAAATCAATAGTTTAGAATCCCCCCCCCAGAAGAGACAGAAAGGTAAAACCCTTCAAGAATCACGGCAAACTGAGTCCCTTCCACCGCTAATATGAAATGCCCTCCGAAGCGGCTCCTGGTTTAGTATTGGATCTTTTCATGACTTGGGGTTTCTGTCATTGTCAGTCATGGAGGCTATATATTCGGAGGAAGGGATTATATATATATATACTTGTTACTTATGATATATATTGGGGGGAAAGAAAGCAAACACGTACAATATCACAAACATATACAAAAATAGATAACTATACATAAATCAGATAAAATACAAAGGTGGCAAATTACTTGATTGTCAATCTTTTGTTTGAACTGTAGATCCCCAATCATCTTTGGAGGCGCCACAATAAGCCATTGCCAGTCACCTGCCGGCCAGGCATCAACATCCTCGTGGCTTGGTCGGTTTGTTTGGAAATATGCAAAATCCAATGGCTATTTAATCCCCCTTGTCAATGGTTATTTTTCCCATTCAGTGACTATTTTATCATGTATCATCATGACTCATGATATTTTGGATCAGATGACCACTGTGAAATGACATGAAAGTATGCATGCAGATATGCAGTATATCAACCCCTGGCAACGTATAAAACCTTGTTGAGGCTGCATCCAATTGTGGGATCAGGATCTTTTCTCATGGATGGGTTCACCATGGTTCACCATGGTTCACCAGCTAGTTCGCCCCCAGGTCCTCATTTGGCGACATCGCCGGGCGATTGGTTTATTCCAAGTTCTTTGACATCTTCACGGCCTTGGTGATTGTGGCAAGCTTGGTCATTCTAGTGCCTTGCCATGGCGAGCCAGAAAGACGTTGTTTTTGTGGGGCAATCTATCGAAATAGTTTCCGAACCATTGACCAGGTGGTGGATGAAGACACCGCTCTTGACAGAAAGAGTTGTAGACCATTGCAAGGGATGAACTTGCCGAGTTTGAGTCTCACAGGATCTCTCAAGTGCGTCTTATGTAGTCTAGAGATGTTTACACTTACTGACGAATCCATGTATTTTCTGCCGAAACATGACTTGCGGCAGGTATTTGAGGTGAATGCAGATGCCAGATGTTATCCTGAGTTCCTTGGACGATGCATCATGGGCGCTGTTTTGTCACCATAGATTCCAAATTGGTTCAGTATATTCATGATTTGGGGTCCCTGACTTGGGGGGTATGTCTAACATGATCTGGCCAGGTTCTATCACAGTCCACCTGCGCAGGTATGCTCAGAGCTTTCAGGATTGTCCTGTCAGCTTCTTGGCAGCTTGAGTGACCCCGAGAATCCATGTGTGTGTGTGTACAATGTCTTGTCTACATTTAGGTACATCAATTTGAGCAAATTGTAGCGATGTCATGCGACGTCATTTGAAATTCGACCTAAACCACAGAATTTTTCACCCTCCATGTGCCAGTGCCATAGAGGTACCAACTTTATGGTGCAGCTAATTGGGCGTTGTTCCCCAAATAGGTTTTGACCCCTCCCCAACTCATGAAGCAAATGGGCGATGCCCAGAGCCTTGAGGTAGCTTGCAGATACAATGGCTGGAACATGCGAACACTGCCCTCCTCCTCATCTTTTCCATAGACACTCGGATCACTCGGGCCGCGGCAAAGGTGAGACTTGGGGATACTGATCAGCCAAATATGTAAATATGTGTCAACACGTTTCTTCAGAGGGCGATGGAGAGAGAGAGAGAGAGACATTTCTTCCGGCTTTTCAATAAAACATGTTGTCAATTAATTGCATTTGTGCATGCATCTGTTCGCAAGGCACACCCTTTTCTTTTTCACCGGATGCTGACGGTGTTTCAACATTTTTTTGACGGCTTTTGGATACCCAACGCTGGAAATGAAGCGGGGAGGAGATAGTAGCTTCATCCAACATTCACCGAATCTTCAGCCTTAGCTGGTTTCGACCCCCTGCAAATGTAGACTTTTTGGCAAATACGCACTATAAAACCACTTCAGGTCACACCAGCAACTTCGACTGATACAGCAATAGTATTTCCAGCCGTTTGCCAACTGTTCAAGTGGCTTCATTTCACCCAGAGGGTTGGCGTGCCATTAGGAATGCCTTGCCCGCGCCTGTGCCGAGCAAAGCCGTTTCTTTTGCCGCTTGGACTTGGCGCAATTGGACTTCTGAATGCGTTGGTTTTCACTAGTCATATTTGATTATTCACTTTGCAGATTCTGGCGGTCTCCAAGTACCATGCATGCTATTTCTTTAATTTGATTCTCTTCTCCCTGAGGAGAAGATGAACACCGAACCATTTCTTGTCGATGCCCATTCTAGCATCTCCTGTCATTGGTTCCATAATTTTCCTTGAACATCAAATTGCAAAAAAAAACAAATTCACATGGTTTGCTCCTGCACAGGGATGATCTTTACGATCCGGCTCCAAACCTTCACTGTCAGTGTCATTGGGAGTTAAATTGCAGTGATGGTCGCCGTACAAAGCTGCCCCAACGAGTAAGCTTAAACCTGCGCATGTCAAAGGTTTTGCCATAGGCTCGGCTTCCTATTCCTCTAAATTTCAAAGGTGGCTCAGGTGCAGGTTCCTGGAAGAGAAATGAGGCAACGGTTGGAATCTCATCGATGTGGCCACGGTGCTCGTGGGTTTTCTGGGTAAAATGTGGACCTCGACGCTGAACGTGAACTTTCTCAGGCACTGGAGCTGAGGGTGGGAAAGACTCAAACCGGGGGACTATTTTTTGGCATATACAAAAAATACACATATGAATTCATGAATGCAGAATATATATATATATATATTATATTAATTATATATATAATATAATATATATATATATATTATATTATATATATATGTATTTTTGGAGATCAGTGATGGAGAGATATACATCATGTTCATCCCAAATTTACCATTTCAATTGTTATTTTTGTTCATGAAATTGCTTTACTAAACATATTCTGCTAGCATTGCCCGGTCACCCTCCTCGGCCACGGCTGCAGGGCTTTCCGTCTTCTGTGCATTTGCCGGAGCTCACGCATGGCAACTTAGGTGTGAAAGAGATTCCTACAAGGTGGTGCTCGCAAACTATGGCTTATTATGGTTGAGTATTTATTGTGGAGTATTGTGGTTTATTTGTGGTTTATGAGTTCTTGCCCGTCTAACTTTACTTATCATGCCCATAAATCATAGTTATATAATTTATAACCTAGTGATTTAAAAGACCACCACCACCACCACCAACAACAACAACAACAAGAACAACAAATTGGCCAAATATGGTGCACCTCCTTGCATGGGGGGTTCCTAAGATGGGGACATCTTGAAAAGTCACCCTAGCGATTGGTCATGTCTAGGGAAACCAATGGTATACGAATGGTACCCCAGTTTCAAACAAAACAACGTGGGGTTCGCCATTTGGACACCCCCATGCGGACTTTGACAGGTTGCACGGTTGCACCACGATTGTGGCAAATGACTTGGCAAAATCCTGAGATCTTTGGACTTGGATCCCAGGTTCATTGTCCCACCATAGCCTGGAGCCAGGATAGCTGTCACCGGGAGTTCGCCCCAGGTGACCTCTGTTCCAGAACTCCGCGTGCTGCTGGTGGCGTTGAAGGCCTCCATGAGGGCATTGGTTGTTGCTTCTTGGACGCTGGTGATGGGGGAAGCCGGCTGCAACTTCCTTCAGGTACTGTTTTTCTTTTTTTACCATCATATTATATATATATAGTTGTATATATATATAGTTGTATATATATATAGTTGTATGCTTCTGGTCTCTGTTGAAGTGGCTGGCGCATCAGACTGCCGGGACTGATGAAGGTGCCTGAATTGTTTGGATTATCACGTGTCATGGTACTTTTGGAGAAGAGATCGCCAACCCAAAGGCCATTTGCATTGTCAAAAAGAGTATGCTGTATGCTCAACACTTTCCAAAATAATATTAGAAAGGGTTCCAGCTAACTGGCGCTCTGCAGTTTCGCTACAAAGGCTGCTGTGTTTCTCCTGTTCATTCTCTTTCTGTGGGCCACTCGGTTGCAGGCAGAGCTAATGGTTTTCAGGAGCGCCCAAGCACAGCTGCAACACTTTTTCTGAGGCTTCGAGGGCTACGGTTTGAGCTATTCATCCACCCATACGGATTGGTCTGAAAATATGGTACCCCAGTATCCATTGGCAAATCATCATGTTCCTCACGTAAAAACCAGTTGCAATGAGTTTGCAGGGTATACCGCAGTTTCAAACAAAGCCATGATATGAGAAGAATCAAGCGTCTGTCTATCAGTACTTACCTCCTCTCCACGTCTCCTTTCTTCCCTAAGGCCATCGTTGCAGTGGAAACCCTACACCCGTTGCTGTCCTCGTCGCACGCGTCCGACGATGCGTTGGCCTTCGAGGATGTGTGGAAGGCAGCGGTGACCATTCTGCTGCAGATGGGGGGATGGATCCAGGAGGATTTCGGAGACGTTGCCGCTGGGCTCCGATGCATGGGAAGCGTGGATGTTGGATGCTGAGATGAAGATAGATTCACCGGTGAAATCAGATGCTTCGGGAAATTAAGATCATAAAAAGGAAGTGAATGGTGCTCTCTCTCTATAGATTATTTTTGGAAGAATGTGCGTGCTTCGTTCCGTGGTGCGATGCCTAAACTTGGAGTCAACTTGCAAACTGAGATGCCATGAACATGTTCGGAATTAATTACCTGCATATTTTGTCGAAAGGATGAAATCATATAGAATGAAGCCGATCCCAATCTGAACAATCACAGGTGAACTGCATAATTAAGCAACTATCCCACAGGAAAACTGCAAACCAAGATCCATCCCATGGTGGGCCTCACATGTTTCGTGGATGTTGCTTCGCGAATTCCTGCAGGAGTATGAAGTGATTTGTTCCAAGAGCCCAAGGAAAAACAAACACAGTAAACAACAAGGAAATCCTACGTCCTACGTCCTAAATGCCCCAAGCAAAACCTTAGTTAATTATCGGATCTATTCATGATTTGCGGGCCAAGTCATGGGGTAGATTTGATATAGTGGCAGTTTCTTTCCATGTCAGGATTGTCAAATTATGTTAGGGTCAAACATGGTTGAAGTCAGATGTTCGAATTGTTGTATCTTGTTGGTTGCTGGAACATGAGTAATTAGAACGAACAAACATGAACCCACATGCTTCCAATATTTACTTGTTTGGTTAATTCACAACCACCATTTTTATCCATATTTGATGATTCACAGCGCATACGTTTCGGAGATTTCTGCGCTTGCCGAGGTGCTTGATGCGCCATGGACGGCTGCCATTTTCTTTGGGATTTTGGTGAGCATCCTGGACTGGGCGCCTGGTGCGTTGATAGTTCTCTCAGTTTCTGGATTGATTGCCAGTTGCACTGGCGAACGAATCTGACACTGAAACCTGAACCAAAATTGTAGCACACCATAGCGCTATTTGTTCCCCATTCCGCAGAGGTGGAGCCACTTTCCACCCAGGTATGAGCTTCGGGGTGATGATAACTTTGGTGCTGATCGTGGAATGTTACACGCGCGCCTGTGAGCACCTTGGCATACCTTGGCTCTGGGAGAGCTCCCGAACTTTCCCGGGCTGTTTGGCCTTGTTCGTTTTTTTGGTCACCCAGAAAGATATACTTAACAGATCTTAAAAGATCTTAAATGTGAATTATATTATATAGCTACTAACTATTATAAGTTAGGAGTTCCTTTCTGTTTTTGTGGGACAACTATAAGATACTACAAGTATGTTTGGGTCATTTTCATGGAAGATTGTGGATGATCTACAGCTAGGCTGTTAGGTTGACCTTTGGTCATTCACAAGCAAACGGGATCCAAAAAGTTACATTTCAAAGTGGCACATGGGCCATGAAATTTAGAATTCCTTCCAGTTTAGGAGTAGGCACTAACCAATAGATGAAAATCTGCTTGATTTCCAATAGGTGTTTGCATTACCTCTTTGATGCGGCCCTTCAGTAATCGCTCAAATCAATGAATTGCCGCCGTTACCCAATCTGAGCACCGTATCCCCACTCAAGTCATTTATTCCCCACCTGCCAGGTGAGGGTTGTTAGATTTTATCACAGTTGTTCTTCTCCTCTTCGGCTAGCTCTCCTCCTCTGCCTCCGCTTCCTCCTCCTCCTCCTCCGCCTCCTCCTCCTCCTCCTCCGCCTCCTCCTCCAGTTTCTCCTCGACCATGTCTGCATCAACTTCCACCTCAACTTCCGCCTTGCCAACTCTTCGCCAAGCTCTTCGCCAACTTCCCAGCTCAGTGTGCACCGCTGGACCTCAACCTGGGACCTTCCCAGCTCAGTGCGCGCCGCTGGACCTCAACCTGGGACCTTCCGAGCTCAGTGTGCATCGCTGGACCTCAACTTGACCTCAACCTGGGACCTTCCCAGCTCAGTGTGCACCGCTGGACCTCAACGGCCAGATAGAATGCCAGAAGATATGCCAGATAGAGTGTTAGAAGATATGCCAGATAGAATGCCAGAAGATATACCAGATAAAATGTCAGATAGAATGCCAGAAGATATGCCAGATAGTTAGAATGCCAGAAGGTATGCCAGAGAGAATGCCAGATAGAATGTCAGATAGAATGCCAGAAGATATGCCAGATAGAATGCCAGAAGATGTGCCAGATAAAATGTCAGAAGATATGCCAGATAGAATGCCAGATCGAATGCCAGAAGATATGCCACATAGATTGGCAGAAAGTGTGCCAGAAGATATGCCAGATAGAATGCCAGAAGATATGCCAGATAAAATGCCATGAGATATGCCAGATAGAATGCCAGAAGCTATGCCAGATAGAATGTTAGAAGATATGCCAGATAGAATGCCAGAAGGTATGCCAGATAGAATGCCAGAAGATATGCCAGAAGATATGCCAGATAGAATGCCAGAAGGCATGCCAGATAGAAGGTCAGATCGAATGCCAGAAGGTATGCCAGATAAAGTGCCAGAATGTTTTCCAGAACGTATGCCAGAATATTTGCCAGATAGAATGCCAGATAGAATGTCAGAAGATATGCCAGATAGAGTGCAAGAAGATATGCCAGAACATAGATATGCCAGGTAGAATGCCAGAAGATATGTCAGATAGAATGCCAGAAGATTTGCTAGTAACAAAACATATAGATGTCATGGTGGGGATAACTCGAAGTAAAGTAATTTCTCCTGTCCTTTTTTTTTCAGGGTCGCTTTGTTCTTTCAAATCTATCGTGCATAAAGTCCAGCCCGTGAACACATAATTTCTATGATGTAGTTACTTGTATGTAGTTGCTGGGAAGTGTCCCAACTTCAGGCAGCTGATTTACATTCAAAGGGCACAATGGTTGATGATATTAGTTGGCCGTTCAACCCACATGTGTACCCACCCACCTGGCAGTTCCAAGGCAGGATCAACAGCAGAAGTGGGAGGATGAAAATGCCCAGAGCGACGCACATCTCCACCAATTGGCCGCTGCATGTTCGGACGCTGGGCGCTTTTGACAAAGGGATGGGTGCGGGTCTATCTTTGCAACATACTTGTAAGACCAGGAATGAATGATATGATTTTGAGACACATATAAATATATATTTTATTTATATATTAATATATTAAATATTGATCCTTTCCAGATCTCCTGGGGCAGCCCTTCATGAAATGATGTTCGCTTAATTATTCAACCCTCCATGATTGGAGAAGATTACCCCGATCTTCGCTCTCGGGATCCATGTGCAGATGCGTTGGGGACATTAAAGGCCAAAATCACCACGAAAGAAACCAAGTTCGAAGTATGTGTTGCAAATTCCCTCTGGAATTGATGTGAATTATCATGAAGTGGCAAGGCAACAGCAGTTCCACAAATCCCTGTGGATGATGGGACATTTTTGCTGGAAAGCCTAGGGCATTCTTTTGAAAACCCAATGGTTTCCTGTAAGTGTTCCTTTACAAAGGATGACCATGACCTTGCTCGGCATCTAAGAACTTGGACACGATGCGCCGTGGCAGTTTGCAGATGGCCGACCTGATAGGTGCTTATCAGGACAGAGCTACGGGTCTTAGGCCTGAGTTTGATCTAATTTTGGTGGGTGGATTTAAAATTTATATTCCAAACATATTTAGTTGATCACACTCAGATTCAAGCATGATGTATGATTAGTCCGTTCCTATTGGATGTTTTCATCTCCAAACTGACATCTATGCTGATTTTTCTCAAATTACCTGAGCGAGTACCCAAAAACCCGAGGTTCATTTGATTGTGTGTTAATGGCAAGTTTGAGATATCCAACTTTTCAGACAAGACTGCTTTAAATATGTCCAGTGATATCAACGGAACGTTGTTCATAGGTCCCAGTTTTCGATGCTCAAAACGTTGAAACATCTAGACATCCCAGTTTCGAGTTGTATGCCATCCGGGAAAATCTAACATAGCTGTGGATTTTTTGCCCATCTAAATCACTTACAGATGGTCCACGGCAAGAAATACCTCAAGGTTGACCTTTTGAGCCTGGTTTCTGCCAACCCCCTTGCTGTTCCTGTGTTTTCTGCCATGCGCCACGTTCTAAACCCTTGCGTTCATGTTTAGGAAGGGAACCCTTGTAAGGGTGTGGCGTAAGCAAAACTCTGAAGAGCGTAAGCCAACGTAAGCTCAGCGTAAGACAAGATATCCGCGTAAGCAAAACCTGTGTACTCGTAAGCAATGGCGTAAGCATTTCTTTATCTGGTGCCAGGATATAAGACATCTAGAATATCTAGAACATATCGCCCATGGAACATTGCGGTGTTCGAATCGCAGGTGAAGTTGATAAGATCCCCCATGAGCAACGTGTTTTGAAGCTGAAGAAGTTGGTTTAGAGACTTCGGAAGAATGGCTCTGTTTAGATATTTGTTGTGCGGTTTGTGTACAGTTGATTCATACACCCATTTTATTTGGAGTCCCATTGCGGGACGGATGACATACCAAAGCTACCATGTAACTTGACGGTAGCATCAATGGCCATGTCAGGTACAGAAACTGGAGATATTGTACAATAGAAAACCATACCTTGTGGGCATATCCCCTTACATAGCCCTTACATAGACCTTATTTTGCTATTGAACATATGATTGGTATCCCTGTCCATATAATAAAAGTGATCTTCATTTCTTGATTGGCTTAAAACCCCATGAGTATATGAGATATCCACAGGTATCCATAGATATCCCATGATATCCCATGATGTCAATCACCTGTTTGACTGGTTAAAACCATCATTTTTCCCAGGGCGACGTGGCGGGTTTCCGCAGCTCCCTGGCCACCATGGGCATTGAGAGCAGGGAGCAACTGGAGACGAAGCTGGGCGACGGATGGAAACGCTTCGAAACCATCGGAAAATGGTGGAAATCACCATAGAAAAAACCAACAAAGATATGGGACTTGCATGGATTTGCTGGGAATTATAGATGGTTTTTAGCTGATTTATGATAGCTAAGTTGGTGCAAATCATTCCAACCATGAAGTATGGTTTATGGGGACTATATCTGTGGGTAATGGGGTTTTGGAAATAAACTTATAACTGCGGGGCCTGCCTTGTGGAAGTACAAACACCATTGATATAAGTCAGTAAAGTATACAATATAATACAGACACACACATATATATATATATATATTTATAGTAACACAATAAATATGAACATTTGTGACTCATTAAATTATCTGTCAGACATTATATCAAATATGTGTCTAACACCAAAATCTGGAATTTGGGGCTTACACAGCTGTCCTGCCCTTGCAATTTGACCATCGCAGATGGTCACAGTATCGGTCAACATCAGATCGTCCCGTCCGAGGATCTGTGTGGTTCTGGCGGCTCCGACGGGGCAGGTCGGGATCTCGGAGTTCCTGCGACATCTGCGAGGTCTGCAGAAAAGTGTGGCGCGCGATGCCTGGATGGCCTACACGGTGACTCGCCTCCAGCATGGCCATAGAAAATCATGGGAAAATCAGCTTCCAGGCTTGATAACTTGGGTTGATATGGTTTGATAAGTTTCAGGGGATACATCTGGGTAGTAATGGGTTGATCGCGGTAATTAACAGTTTTCTACATCTTTCTACATCTTTTGTCATGTTACTTCATGTCATTTGGGCTAGATATGTAAATAGAAATATATAAATAAATATGTCACCGCTGATGGAATTGGCAAGGCATCAGCTTTCAGTTGCGCCCAAGCAGGTTTGGGCGTGATATCAAGGTATATATTTCCGACTCGTTGAAACGGACATTGAGCTCAAATGCAATGACAAATCATATATGAAATTTGCGGTTGTTTGTTGCATGCGGATTTGCTCGAACAGATTGAGATGACCATCAGCCTACCCTAGTTCACACAGTCCCTTCATCAAGAGATATAAGGTTCCCTTGGTTTGGCAGCAACATGTTCGATGTCGGGAATCATGCCACAAAAAAGGGCTCGATTCAGAACAGTCGACCTTTATGGGGCTAGTCACGGATATTATCGGATATTGTAATGACACAGAAGCACACGAGTCAAAATCATGGAAAGCTGAATGATTTGATCTAGCCTGGTTCCACATTCTTCTTCCCAAATCAACAGCTACATTCCCAAAAAGACATACTATAGTTTGTCTCAACCGGGGGGGCTGTTTATTTCCCAAGAAAACCCATGAACAAGTCCTCGAAAACATCACAAAACTATCAATCACTGAGAAAAATAAAGCCAAAACCATCCAAAAACACTCCAAACACATCCCAGAAACAATCCGCAAACCATCCAAACACTACCAGCACCCCAGGTCCTTGAGCTGAAACGCCTGGTGAAAGCCGAGTTGACGGCGCCCCGCGGCGCTTTCCCTCGTGGCGCACCTCGGCTGGCGCAGGCTTCGCCCACGCTGCGACTGGCGCCGCTGCTGCCCGAGGAGACGTCGCCGCTGCCACAGCAGGAGGTCGTCCGGAGGAGGTGGGCCAGGCATTGCATACAGAGCCCTTCGGCGAGGCCAATGTCAGTTCGAAGATTCGAAGATGTTTGAAATATAGAGATATAATTAGTACATAGCCAGTTGATGCTGGTTGATTCTGTTGAGTTTGGGGGATATATTACAGTTGATGAATGTTGGTTAGTTGATCATATGTAAAAAAGAAACAGTTTATAGGGTTTTAAGCTTCAAAATGTGGTGATATAACTGTGAAATGTTGATAAATGATGGGTGATGATCAATGATCAGTTCAGGGATCATACTACACACTATATTGGGGATTATCATGATCTATAAACGGGGGAATCCTAATTGACTACCAGGGAGAATGGAACAGAAGCTCTTGAACACTGCTCAGATGGGATCTTGATGATTCTCCTCCCAGTGTTTTGTTTAAGGTGATGTCTTTCTTCCCCATTGGGTAATCCACCATTTGGGGGATCTATAGGTATGTTTTTTATTTTTTTGTTTGGACCCCTTAAGCAAACCCAAGTTATCGCAATGGTTTGGAGCATGGGTATCCATTTAATCCCACATTCCCTGAGGGAAAAAAGGAAAGCTGGCAGATGTTGGCAGATCTTCGCCGTTTGAGTAATTATTTGTGTGTAATCCAGGATGATGATACCAAGTGATTGATATTTTCCAGATAGGAACCACCAATCAGTTGTACAGTACATGATATTACCTGGGAAATTCCAACTGGATGGGTACTTTAGTATGCTATTTGTTTTCTGGCAAGGCCAGGCAAATAGAAACATCAAATGGTATGATGATGGCACATCTGTCGTTTTTTTTTGGGGATGGCTCAGCCAGCGACAAGCTGATGCTTTCATTGATCCAGGCACATGCAGGATGAAAACAATTCTGTATTAAACGCCTGCTTTGTATGTTACTTATTTTTTGGTGTGTGTGTGTGTCAATCTGGCTTATTGCGGGATGTTGCTGGTATGTCATTGGATGTTTCTTCGACATTGCAGCCACAAGGCTGTGGGATTGAGAGGGCTCAGCCTGAGGCTTTGAGAACTTGCAGAAGGGTATGGATCCTTTGCTGCTGCAGGTTGGGCAGGGAACAGCGGCACCGGGCCAGGAGAGCGGGTCAGGTTTTTGTTAGACATGGGATGCTAATTGTATGAGTATGAGTCATGTATGGAAGGGGTACCACAAAAAGGACCGGTGGTTTAAGACTACGTCGAAAGTGTTGCCTGTGTCCATCCTGTGTCCAATAGTAGTTCTGCCTGATATATAGAATGTTGGTTTGATCGTTGTGCTTGCAGGACACGGCTGGTCGCTTCAAACCACCAGTGTTTCCATCCTTTAGACAAGATAATGATGAATTATATAAACCTTTATTACAATCCTCCATTTTCTTGTCCTTGTCCATTCCTCGTTTGGGTGGTCAGCCATGAACCCGAAAGAGGGAAACGGTCATTTATTTGATTTGTAACTTGTTCCTAGGTTTGGCGCATATGTCCAATTCCATTTCAATCAGGTATGTCCACAAGGCATTGACTGAACATCGAGTGGTTCTCAAAAGCCGCTGATGAATCATCCATTTCATTTCGCTCTTAAAATGGCTATTTGGAGGTATCCCCAATTTTCAGACAAACCCAGTTGAATTATATTCTCTAGGTAGTTGGAGGTTGGTAATGTCATGTAATTTCCCGCTGTGGGATCGCTTTCGAAGGCTGAACATCTTTTGCAGGAAGTCCTTGAGGATCCGCGGGGTCCAAGTGGTGCCCACCAATGTTTGGAAACAGTTGTACAATGGAGGTTGAATGGGCTAATACACAACTTCTGGCTGATGGTTTAGAACATTTTTTATTTGTCCATATACTGGGAAGGTCATAATCCCCACTGACTTTCATAGTTTTCAGAGGGGTAGGTATACCACCAACCAGATTTTATGGGATATACGGTAGCAATGTTTGTTATATAGGAAATATAGGGATACCATATGATATAACATGATACATAATGAATGTAACAATCCCCCGTTTAACGGATATAATTTTATTTAACGAACCATTTTAGGGATATATAGCTAAGAATATACTCTAACCATATGATATCATAACTATATGGAATCGTGAATGGAGGTAGCAACATGGGCTTTGACATGTCCTATTGTCCAATAATTAAAGCCCGTTGCTGCCTACAATAAATAATCATGACTGCCATTTTTGATAGTTTGAAGGCTGGAAGGCCAAACGAGATGAGTCCAGCAGCTTATATCGCTTGCAGGCGCTCTTCGATATGAAAATGGATGAAAACCATAGAACAACAATGATAGCACATTTGATTCAGCGATGAATATCCAGGCATTTTCATGACCACCTGCACTAATTTCCAGGGTCTAGAGGGTTGACCGCAGCCTCTTGTCGCCTGGATTCTGTTGGTTTTGGGTGCAAGAGCTGTCCTTGTCCATTATGCTTCGCCAACTCTATACATACCGCCCATGTTTGAAAAGCCGTTCCGACAGCGACATAGTTGAACAGAGCTTTGGCACTATGGTTGGTGGATGGTGTTTTCAACAGGTTTCTGTGTGTGTGCGCGTTTTTTTTCCCCATGTTTTTTTTTCTCCCTGATCCTAAGAAATATGATTGGAATCGGCATTTTTAGCAGTTGAACATGGCCGAAAAGTTGACGCACCTGTCAGGAGACTGCATTTGAACCTCCATTCCAAGACTGTCGCATCGAGATCGAAATCGACAGTGACGCTGCAACCCCTGACATGTCACTTGGTGTTACAGCAAGGGGGCGCCAGTGTGGAAGGCTGTTTCCTGATTGCGATAATCTGAAGGACCCATTATTTTGCGCTATGTGACGTAGAGCTAGCAAGGCCTGCAATATGCGTTTTTCTTTTTTTTTGCGGTGTAAGTCTTCTTTGAGGACTTCAGTTGTTCTTGGGTATGATTCAGAGAACATCGATGTCCTGTTTCGGTAGTGGGTGAGAAATGTCCAAAGCACACTGCCAGTTCCATACAATGGCTGAGTCACCTTGATTTTATCATCTTCAGAGATGATCATGAATCTCAAGATGGCCATTTTTTATCCACAAAGTGCCCACATGGTTTTGCTGCGCTGCACAAGGCTTTCAATACAAACATGCCAGTGGGTAATTCTTAGAATTCACAACCTTGGTGAAAGCAGCCAGATCCGTCTCGCCGGACTATGTGCTGCCTTAAGGGAAGAAACCATGAAATTTTGGGGCCAAGTGTGGACGTGACTATGGCTGAAACCATATGAAACCTAAAGACCCAAGTTCCATAGCAGATCAAGTCCCAACATCAAGGATGACGATGTGTTGTTGCTATTTTTGAAATAAGTGATATATATGTGTCCTAGAACTGACTTGAGGGATTGCATAAGCCCCTAAGCAATTGGTTGTTCTTAAAACATATGAAATGTAATGTTAATCCTTCAAAGACTCTTTATTTCTAAACGTTGGTGTTTCTCCTGAACCCTCCTGTGATCAAACATGGCTAGCTGGACAATTCCAGTATTTATAGAATTTTATAGATGATTTTCCCCGCTGTAAACCTCCATTTATAATTTTTCTTCTATTGCATCCTTTGAGTACCGGAAGGTGACTCCGCAGTAAATCCCATGAAATCACTCAATTGTGGTTGGGTAAATCTCATCTAAATCCCATATATAATATAGTTATATATATACACACGTACAAATCCCATTAAATCCTTTATATAAATCCCATTAAAACCACTGCCCCCAGTCATCAAGTCTCCAGGCCGAGTCGCTACGATTGGCTGCTGGATCAGCGTTCCAGCGTCTTGTGCGACTCCTTTAATCGCAGCCTGGAGCAGCTGAGCAGCCGCTTGGAAGCCTTGGAAGTGCCAGGAGTCAGGGCCCTGTGGTCGATACAGTTTATATATCAACATAGAGTCATCATATTGTATCACATACTTCATTATATGGCAACATATAGTGAATACAGTGTCTCAAATACCATATATAAATATATATATATATTATACATATATATATATATATAGTTGTTTATATATATATATATATACATATATATATGAGCAGCCGTCAAAACTCGCGGATACTAAGATATGTATTGGCTGGACATTGGTTTTCAGAAGTGCAAAAAATTGAGGTTAGCGTGGGACCTTTCCAAATAGCGATGCCCCATGTTGAACTCAAAAGTTAATAATTACATTTCATGAGTGTTGATTTCGTCAAGTGCTCGCATCGGTGATAGACTTGGGCTCCGGGTTGAAAGAAAAGGAAAGGAAAAGGACAGGGAAAGGAGAAGAAAAGAAAAAGAAAAGGAAAAGGACAGGCACAGAAAAAGAAACAGGAAAGGAAAAGGAAGAGAGAACAGAAAGGAAAAGGAAAGAGAACGGCAAAGGAAAGATAAAGAAAAGGAAAAGGAAAGAGAAAAGAAAGGAAAAGGAAAGGGAAAGAAAAAACGAAAAAAAGGAAACGAAAGGAAAAAGATAGAAAAAGGGGAAGGAAAGGACAGGAAAAGAACAGAAAAGGAAAAGGAAAGGAATAGTTTTACAAGCAAATGATAATGCACCCGCCTGATTCTGCAAAAAAAGCAGGTCGGTTTTAGCGATACCATAGCGATGCCTTAGAGATACCCAAGCGATACCCAAGCTCTCCCAATTGCACAGGATCCCCAACTACTTGTACCTCTACTTCTACTTCTACTGCTACGTCTTTTATTGTACTTCTGCGTTTACTACTGCGGCGACGACTACGACTACGACTACGACAACGACGACGACGACTACTACTACTACCACCACGACGACGACTACTACTACTGCTGCTGCTGCTGCTACTACTACTAGTACAATTATTAGAATTCCTGCTAGTATCGCCAGGATTGTGTTACTAGCTTTGTTAATATTTCTAGTACTTCCAATTTCTTAGTATTACTTTTTCTGGCATTAACGCTGCTAGCACTTCTAGTACTCCTAAAACCTTGGTACAATTAGTACTAGTAGTGCGTACAAGTATGAATAGTACTACAAATACAATATCATATCTACTTCAGCTGTGTTTAGCCTTAGCGATACCCCTTGTAAATCAATATTGCGCAATGATGGTAAAATTGCTACCGAAACTGTGGTTAGTGATGGGGCCTTTCCAAATTATGTTGATGACCTTTTCATGAACAAGGAGGTTTGACAGCCGCACACACACATATAAATATATATATATATGTGTATATATACATTATATTTATTCATTTATTTATTTATATGTATTTTTTAATCGTATATATATAAATTGTGTGTGATATTTATTTATTTATATATATATGTATATATATATCACATATATATATTATATATATGTATATATCTATCACACACACACACATATATATATATATCATATTCAATGTAAGTGAGTCCAATTTCAAGGTAATTGGATCTAGCAGACCCCATGTACGCATTTCTAAATACCCGCATGTACTTCTGAAGGGTGTTAACTCCCTTTCCGGGCTGCCGCCCGGTTGGCCGCTGCCGCGGCTGGAGCAACCACAGATGGTCCAACCTCCAGGAGCCGGTGGTCAGGGCAGGGATGCAGGTATACCACCAATACATCATTACATTACCTCAATAAGGGACCCAAGATGAAACCCTTTATCCCTGACATTATATACACCCCTCCATTTGAACTTGAACCCCATTCATCATCTTGGGCCCATCCTTGAGATAATGCAATGTTCAGGCAGCACGTTGCACAGCATGACATTTTGTAGGTTTCAAAAAAATCACTCGCGTGGTGGTGTTCTAGAAAAAATGAAGGCGGCGGATGTGGATTTTGTAGAAACATACATGGATGGTTTCCCTGCAAGAGGGAGCATAAGCACTGCGTAAGCTTTCAAACCGTCATGTTCACCTTTCACCGCGCCGGTTCCCCACAGCAGCGATCATGAGATTCAATGATCTAAGTTACAAATCGAACCTAACACATCCACACTCAAACAGCCAGCATAGGCTGGAATTATGCTGGCAAATCCTTTGTCTTTGCCACTGTTCAAACACTGCGCAAGTACGAGCTCATCCAAGCTTCCACTGCCTTCTTGTATTTCTCGGCGTTGGTCAACAGCTGATTTGCCTGGCCTGCTGCAACCTCTGCATTCTCCTTTTCCGTCAGGATGGCGATGTATTTTTTCACCCATGCTGCCTTGGTGGTGCGCAAGTCGTTGCTGCTCAAGGTGAGGCTTGCCATTCCATCAGGCGTCAAGGCGTCACGGATTTCATTCGGATGTGAATCCATAAGGCTGTTGCCCTTCTTGTCCCCAGTCTTCTTGTTGCTCTGGATCTTCTGGATCTTGTCGTTCTCAATTGTCTTGGAAGCGGTAGGCTTATGGGCATTCTTGTTCTCAGACTTTTTGTTTTTCCCACCTTTGTCCTTGTCCTGGTTCTTCTTGCGACCACGTTTGCTCTCAACCTCAACGACCTTGCTGCCTTCAACCTCACTGCGTAGAACCCCTTTGCATCCCTTTGCGCAACCACTTTGCGTGCCAGCGGTCGCATGCTGCACGGTGGACTCGCTTTCTCTCTTCCTTGGTTTGCTTCTTCTTTCTGGTGTTCTTCACAACGCGGCTGGCTGATTTTTTCTTGGCTTTCGGGCTTGAAGACTTGGCTGAGGCTTTGGGTCTACAGACCTTTCCCCTTGCCGGCTTCTTGTCGGTACCTGTGCTGAGGCCTTGATTGTTCTCGGTGGTGTCAGGAATCGGCTTCTCCTCAGAAGCCATGCTCGCACTGGGCTTATCCTCATGCAGGAATCAGCTGCCGTGAGTAAGGCACGGGGCATGGGTTTTGATGCGAAGCTTGCGTGGGTCAGCAAGCTTGTTCTTCGGGAGCTTGTCAGCATTCTCAATGAGATGGCCAATATCCCAAACAGGCATTCATTGGGATAAAGTTTCTTGAGCAAGCTTTGGCAATGGGGATCCTTTTCCACCTTGATTGATTGGAGAGATTTGAAACGACTTATAACATGATGAAACCAAGGCATGCCTAAAAAGTACCCATGATTAAATTATAAATTCCAAAAAAAATGCAGATGTAAGGGAAGTAGGCCGCCAAGGCGCGGCAAATGCCCATTTGACACCACTCCGGACCCCCCAAAGATTCCAGAGGGCTTCGTCGATAGCAGTCCATGCTGCTTTTGCGCATTCCACACCACTAAACAAAGTGAAGCACACCAGTGGTCTCTGCAGCTTCTTCGCAACGTAGTCCCGACCAAAATGGTTTGCGCACCGTTCAAGCAAGGTCACTGCCCAATTCCTCGGGCTGAGGGAAATGTTTTAAGGCTCTAATGGGGTTACTACTTTTTAAGTACTGCTGTACGGTATTTGTATGTTGGGTGTTATCCCCAATTTTTTGTCGTGGATGCCCCCACCCACGGGGATGTCCAGCCAATGAACCAAAAACTGTTTCCAAGAAACTCCAGTTCATCCATAGTTTCGGGCAATGGAAAGGGTTCCCTAACCACAGACACAGAAGGGATCAAACCTTAGACAACATCACAAAAATCTACACCCTTCATGCTGTAAATGATAGCAACCATGATGAAAAACCAAAATTACAGTGGAAATTACTTTTTTTTTGCTGGGGCACACTGCAAATATCTGCGGTTCGTCTTCACTATCGACCAGCTCACCGTCTTTCATGTTGGAACCCTGTTTTTGTTTCCCCACTGATTTTTGGGCAGCTGGTTTTTTCAAATGTGCTTTCTTCACACTGCTGGACTTGGCACGGGGTTTGGCACGGGGTTTGGGCTTAGGATGGGTTTGGGCTGAGGACCCTGGCCATAGATGGAAAGCAGCCGTTGCTTAGACCCATCCTCGCCCTGGGAACCTTGAGCCTTGTCAGAACTCTTCCCGAGATCACCTCCTGCGGTCACTCCATGGCTTTTGCTAGCGGTTTTTCCTTGGCCTTTTGCAAGGCGTTCCGCCTTTGCTTTCAACACACTTGGGCCAACGTTTTGGCCATCTCAGCTTGCGCCGAAAGAGCTCATGATTTTAATAGATTCAAAGTTTATCCAGACCGCCCCGAAACATTGCTTTTTAGCCATAAAATATATTCATGTGATTGCAATTACCTCTATATTATATTCTGGCTCATACCATTGTCCCAGCTGGCAGGGCCTCTGCAAACCACGGTCTCGAAGAACCCGAAGAAGCCACAGCAGCGGCCACCGGCGGCAGTTGCAGCAACTGCTGCCTCCGCGTGGAGGGTGAAAATGGATGAAAATGGGAGATTGTATATTGGGAACCCTCAATATTGGGATGCCTGCAGCCTCAGTTACTTCGAATATAGCCTCAGTTGCTTCGAATATAATATATATATATAATCATATATTTATATATTTATATATTTATTTATTTATTTATTATCATATAGTACCGAATATATCATATATGTCATGTTCCATGGGGGCCATCTCTAGCTCCTCCCCCCAGGTCTGGAGGGGAATTTGCGCTGCATCCAGCAACGTTTGTCCAAGCTGCGGAGTGGTTTCGATGGTCGCACGGAATCCTTGTGATCAACGGCCCTGCTGAGCGAAGGATCGGCCGCTGTCACCCAGGTCTAGCAGGTCCCCCAGTTGGGAGATCTCGAAATCACGACAGACAAAAAAAGTGTGATGAAAAAACACCTAACTTGCTGTGGAACCAAATGTATGGTGATCATATAGTAGTAACCAGTGTTTGTGGGAATCCTGATTGGCCAGTGGGTTTGCTCGATTTCAGCGCATTTCCAAGCATCGAAGGCACGTTTTTCGCTGCCAGTTGGATCCAAATGATCAGATACTGGTGACAGTAGCATGGGCCCTTGTAGCTCTTTGATTGTTTTAAGATCTAGGCCAAAGAAAACCTGCAAGATGCAAGTGATGGCAATTTTGTCCATGAAAATGAGGTATGATGCCTGTATGTATGGTAATCTAGAACCCACTGGTTTATCATCATTCCCCCTCAAAAAAAAAGACACTTGGCGGTATTCACTGTATGATTTCTAATGGTTTTTCCACGAATTGTGGTTTCCATTATTTTCCAAGAAATGGCCAGCTCAGCTGAGCTTCAAGAGTGGTGGAGTGGATGCAAGACTTAAAGGACTTGCCCTGCTTTGAGGCTTGCCAAGCTTAAGGGATAGGGATTTTGATGTATAGTTGTCCTTCCTGCACCAGTCTTCAGGCTCATATTAGTTTAACTCCATTGCAGGATTTTCGATGGCCGTGCCTAGGTTGCGCGACCCGCGCGTATTCCTGCAATTGGTGCTGAACTCCTGTTGTTATCCCAAAGTGCAAACCCCGGAAAACTGCGGGAGGGCTTCTGGGGGCTTTCTCAGCTTTGAGATTCGAATCAAGGTCCTAGGTTTCTTTTTTTTTCGCGGGAGGTATCCAATGTGTCTCTACCGATAGATGGGAAGATCCCGGCGATCTTGTACATTTTGGGCATGAAATATCATGAAATACATCATTGTGTTGAACTGTGTTGTGCCATCTTGTGCCTGCTCATTTCTGTGCGTGTTTGTTGTGCCATGATTGGATCATCCAAATTTACCTTGCCGGCCTTGGGACCGTCGGGACCAGTGCCAATGCAGAGAGCTGCACGAATCTCGCTTCGAAGATCGTGTTGAGACAGCAGAGGTGACCGGGTGATGTCATCGAGAGACTTTTGGCAACCCCAAAAGGAATCAAAAGGATAGAAAAGGTGTATGTGTCATGCAAGACTATATTTTGTAGGGTTCTTACATGTTTAGTATACGTTTGCCCCCATTGTTTCCCATTGATTCTGATGAAACCATCAATGTTGCTGGCGGTGCCAGTGCTGGAAACAGCGGTTGTTGATGGTTGTGGTTGCAATCACAAGGGGGAGACCAAAGAAATTGATTGCGAACCTGGCCTATATATATCTATCTATCTATCTATCTATCTATCTAAATGCATAAATAAATTTATATATATACCTACCCATCTATCTATATATATATATATACCTATCTATCTATCTATCTATATATATTTATATACCTATATATATATATACCTATATATATATATATACCTATCTATATATATATATACCTATCTAATCTATCTATCTATCTATCTATCTGTCTATCTATCTATCTATCTATCTATCTATCTATCTATCTATCTATCTATCTATCTATCTATCTATCTATCTATCTTATATATATTTAAGTATACTGTAGATATCTGTAGACAGTAGGTCCCATTTGCTACTTGGTGGGTATGACCGTTCTTTTTTGAGACCGTGCTAGACTCGACAATGCCGGCATGGCTTTCAACTGAGACCGTAGGGGTCAGCTCAAGGCATTCGAAGGAGAGGATGTGGCACCAGCCAATGCCTCCGGGCACATGTCCCGGGTGAGAGAAATGGCCAACGCACAAGGTCAAACGCAACGAAGAAAAACCAAGGCGAATATTCAAATGTCTCCATCTCTGAATGATGCTGGATATGGGTCTGTCATGGTGTGTCTGAAGACTGGGTGCACCAAAATCTACTGTACTGGTTGATCATTGTCCCCATTGAATCAACTTTTTAGACTAGAGAGGACCCCTTTTTCTGGGCAAACCCAGTGCTTACCCTGTGCGGGTCGAAATCTGGCGTTTCATGTCGCAAGTACTTGAAGTGATGCATCCACATCCGCTTCCTCAACGGCATGCATGGCTGACACATGGTACGAACTGGGACCCCCTTGTTCGAGCAGCTTATCCCAGTAGTATTGGCTTTACGAAAACCAACGGTAAACTATTCGCAGTGGGAAACGCTACCGAAGAATGAGCCGCATACTCAAGATTTGGCATCCGCTATTGTGGTGGTTTGGGGACGTTTGGAAGATATGCTTGCTGATGATTTGACTAATTTTATCTGAAAGCATCAGCCAACAATCCGACAAATCATCCATCAAGTGCCTTGATGTGCCCAGTTTGGCCCAAAACTGCTGTGAATGATTTGTTTATTCACGCCATCCCAGGCTGCCAAGGCGTTTCAGAAGGAGCGTGCGGAGAACAGCAGGCGGCCAGGGCGGTCATTTCCAATATTGGAGTTTCCTTTTGGGATTTCGATGAGGTTGTACTTGCAGAAATGGGATTTGACTATCAGACATGGAATTTTAGCCTCCATTACACATATAAAAAGCTTTGGAATTTGGGGTTCCCGTTCGGAAATGATCTACAGTCATGGTGGATTTTCCATAGTTATGTTACTATGTTAGATCATCAGAGGGTAAGTAGGGTGGTAATTGATAAATAATGAGTTAGCCGTGTTGACAACTGATACATATGTTATAACTTATACTAACTAACCAAGTGATGGTGATTCATGATTAAAAAAAACGGGGCTTGCCAAGTGGATGTAAGTGGGCTACCATTGGTTCCATAGATTGGTAAGTAGATAGGGAAAAGAGCAAAGGGAAAAGCAGGGCCTTGGTGCGCCCATGATCATGATGATGACGATGATGACGATGACGACGGGATTATTTAACCACCAAGTGGGATTATGCACCCCCCCAAGAACAACGATGTTTTCTTTATCTGAGCCCCAAGCATGTTCAAGCCAAATATACCGTTGGGAGTTCAACATAATGACTAGTTAACTATTATGGAACATCACCACAAGTACTGTAATTCATCTATAAATGGGTCATTTTCCACAGCTATGTTAAAGTACCAAAGGTATATAGCCATGAGGTACAGTTGCGTTCCGTATGCTGCATGGTTCTAGTGTGGAGAAAATCGGTGGAAGGCCGGTTTTTGCCTTGCTATTCCTCGTTGGGATACTCTGGGGGTAGGGTGCCATTGCCGTCACCATTCGCAAGATTCGCAAGCGCATGAATCACGGACCCTGAGCGTAGAAACCTCCCCAAAAAAGTAGGCAGTAAACACCTAACAGGAATTCCCGAATATTTGTGGAATTTGGAGTATTACACCAAATTACACCCAGAGTTTCCCGTTTAAATCTTTCCCAAAACATCACCATCCATCGAATCCCGGCTGGTGCCACCGTTTTTTTCCAGGATGGCTGGTGCACGCAACGCCGAGCTAGAGGGGATGAAGGACATTTGCCATTTAAAAAAACGGAAAAAATGATGATTAACCAATGGATTTGGGATACCATGGGATACCCATGGGATACCCATGGGATACCCATGGGATACCCTGGTGATATCCAATTTTTCAGACACACCCAGATCTGTGAATAGTAGTGAATAGTATTTCTGTTTGTACCTGTGAGTTTACAGTACAGATATGTACAGATATTTCAACAGGAAACAAGAGGAACCTTGAGTTCGCACGTGGTATTTTAACCCTTACCGTAACTGTCAGTCCATCACCAGTCATTAGGATTTCCACTTGGAAGCTAAGACCGCAGATATGTGGTTCAAATCAGTTCGTTCATCAAAAAGATGATGGCCCCACCATTTTATGTACATCAATTTGTCCAAAAAGGACCCCGATTTATCTCTTCTTATTCGAGGACATGATTTTCATGCACCTCCCACCATATTCGTCACGACATGTCACGACTGACATGTCATGACATGTCACGGCTGATCTGAGCCAATAATAACGACAATGCAGGCTAACATCACCAATTTGTTCCAAGAAATGACAGAAAGGTGAGAATTTACTCGGGTTGATGTCTCGATACTTGTGGCATGGATTTTGTGAATTTTGCCTCGTCTCATCGTTTGTTCTAGATTAGCATGTCGAACGCAGACACCAAGAGCATCTGGAATCCTAGAACAATGATTTGTGGTATGTGTCTGTCCAAAATTTCTGCAACGTTGCCATTTTTATTAGTAATTAAGAAAATTGCATATAGTGCCCCCATGGTAAGCCGTGTAGGACATGGTGAAGCGATGGAAGAAGGACTCGTGAAAAATTGCCCTTTTTGGGGCCGTGACTGGCGGGGGTTTGGTGAACATCAGAGGTGGCAATGGAAAGTCAGTAAAACTCTTTCAAAAATGAAACCCAGCCCATCCCCCTAATATTAAACACCCCAAGAAAAACATTAGTTTAGTAGGGCATTTGCACATCCTTGGGGCGTTGAGGGGGTGTTTAATAGGGGGAACCATCTTCTCAAAATGGGGACGACCCCTGGTGGCCGCCAGGAGACGGAAGCGCGCAAGCAACACGCGGAGGAGCTGAGCCAAAGTTTGCTCCAGGTCGTGGTGGCCATTATAACCACCACATTGTTTGTTGTTTTCCCCGATGTCTTATGAAAGGGCTGGCTGTTAGATGAATGTGAGTGTTAACGGTGAGTTAACGGCTTTAAACAACTGGTGTTGTTCGAAGAAAGGTGGAATCATCGTGCTGCAACGCCCTTGGCAGGCTTCCCGCAAAGCGGAACAGCAGAAACGACGAGAGCAGCGTGCCTGCCGTAGGGGAGAGGATGTGCAGTTGCCGTGTTGGAGTGTAGCAGCGTGGCGGTGTGGAAGAAATGGTGAGACGATGATTTGTGGTAATGATTCGAAATGACTATGATGTATTATGATGACTGTTACCAAGGGTATCACCAAGGAACTCCTAACGATAAAGAACAACGATAAACCATCACTGTCATGTATTGTCATGTCATACGAAGTATACAAACCATTAGGAGTTTGAGTTGCTGGTTTCAAGACTCCAACGGCAAAAAACGAATTAGATAGAGTCTCATAGACTTGTTCTGTATGTTTCTGTTGACATTCTAGGAAGGATAGATTAGCACTTCAACAATCTTAACATGTTGCTATAAATGGGAAGCCTTCTAACCCTCCAGTAAACTAAGCTATAGCTATGGAAAAGCCACCGCAACCTCCACAAAAGGTGCCTTAGGGGAGAAGACCAGAGACCAAATTCAGATGGTCAAAGATGTGGCTCGAGCCCGGCCCTGAGAAGAGTTCCAGGGATGGTTTGGACGTGTTTGGACTGGATTTTCATGGGGAAATATGGAAAACATGTTGGTTGAATGGATTTGAATGTTGATTGACACAAGGTCACCAACCATTTTATTGGGATATCATGGGCCTAGTACATTGGATACATGTTTTGGAATCTTTGAGCAATCTTTGGGAACTGCTGAAAATGAATAGGAACTTATAGGAAATACAGACTAAAATCCCTGAAGATTTATGTATTGGCTTTGGGGTTGAAGATGGACCAAGTTAAGACCAGGGATGTAAGAAGTCCGCCAAAGGGCTTGAAACCACAAAGGATGGGAATCCCCGTGGACGGTAACAGCGGGAATTCATGGAAGCTTCAATTAATGGCCTTGCCATGCCTTGCCCATTAAAATGTTATGATATCCGTGTGACATTTTGGGCATACGACTTTTGAATCTTAGTTGATGTCGCGCATATGGGACTTGATACGGCACATGTTCCGTTGAAGAATATGTGAGAATTCGAAGCCGTTGAGTTATCCTCTCTGAACTGTTCCATGAAAATCCTTTTAGCTTCCACGAAACCAATGCTGTTTTCAGACAAAACCATAAAAATCCGTCGTTACCCGGAAAAGAATTCCACTCATGTTGTATCACGTGTTATCAGTGGGAAATGGACGTGGTGTTTCTCCTGTGCCAGCAAATTCCATCTATAGAATCTAATATTTGTTGAATTAAGTCTATTGTCGTCAATTCCCTGTTTGGTGTGGTGAAATGACGATGTTGACTGTTGACTTGAAAATTCCGCTGCGTGCTTCTTGGTGTCACTTGGTCACTTTATTTGAGTCAAGCTGCTCATTGGTCACTATATGTTTTGCAAAGGTCTGGCGCGGTGTTGGGACCTTAACACGGGACACCAAGGGCCATGGGTGGATAGTTTGTGGATTGGCAGTGGCATCACCCGACTGGTTTGGTAAATGTGTGCTTTTGGATTGCCATTCCAGGGTATTCTAGGGCCTAGGGGCGATCTTCTTTAAAACAATTTATGGGAAGTCTGTACAGGTTATATGGTATATATGTTCGAGCAAGGGGTATCACCATATATCACCATCGCTTACTGCATCCCGCGTAAAATACGTAGTGTCATAAGACCAACAACACGGAGAATATAGGGTTTATTTAAAAAAACAAAACAAAACCAGAGCACACAGAAATTAAGGACATAGAACACCAAAATCAAGGATAAAAACAAATACAAACAAAAATACAACAAAAACTGAGAAAAAACAAGATTTTGATTGTGTTTTTTTGTTCTGGTGATTCTTCCTGTCAGGTTGTTTTTTGGTGATTCTGTTTTTGATTGTGATTTGTTTTGCTGAAGCCGGTGTCATAAACATAATGTGAGACAGACAGTGTCCACCAAAGATTGAATATATTCTCTGTTTCTTCCAGATTCTTCCAGTTTCTTCGGAGTAGCTGGTAGCAGCATTGAACCATTGATGCTGTTTGGTGATTTCTTAGTTTGCTCCTGTAGGGAGCTCTCCAACAAATTGAGACAGATTCTCAACAATCCTAAAGGACAAATCAAGTCACAAGCAGCTGCGCATTGAAGGACAAATATATTTGTTCAAGAAGAAGCATCAAGTAACAATGATTTGGTTTTATTTGATTGTTGGTTTGGCTGTTGATTTCCATCCCGAAATGAGGAATGAGATTTTCAGAACCTATATAACTCCCTCTGAAATGGGCAGCTAAGCGAAGCAAAGCCTGCTGGTGGTTTCAACAGATGTTCCGATTTTAATGTTCAACCATAGAAATCGAATGATCCCCAGTGACCGCAGTGACCAGCATGGTGGGGTGTCTTTCGCGCTCTTGGCTTCAAGCAGCTAAGCATTGCATCATAGTCCCGTTTTGTCAAGACGAAAGCTACATGGGTGGTACTGGTAGAGAGAAGCCTCAATGGTTTGACACGATCTTCCAAATTCTTTCAAGGCAATTTCGAATGGTTCCCGCATGTTACCACCCATTCTTTGATACTCAAATCCTCTGATTTTGCCGCCAGCTGGATGGGCGACGATCTGCCCCTGATGGTGAGTGGAGTCATTCGCGTGTTTCTGGTTAAACCTTTGTTGGCCATATCTAAAATTAGTGATGCTAAACCTTTGTGAACGATATGTTGATGAGTTCACACATGTTAGCGTGGTAAACCTGTTCGTGCATATGAAGCAAGAAAAAGAAAGACAATAACCCCGGCCGAACCATTACCCTCTGGTAAACGTTTACATAACTATGGAAAATCACCATTTTTTGAACGGGTAAATCAACTATATATATATAAATCACCATGTTCTATAGTTAACAGTTAAATTTCCAGAGGATACCAGATGTGTGGCATTGCCATGTTGGGCCGATGCACCACGGCTTCCGTGCGGTGCACGCGGCGCTTGCATGGGCGCGGGAGCTTCTCTAAAGGCAGGTTGAATCAGGGGAGAAGCTGTGAGGAACCTGGGTTTTCATGCGGTCTCCAAATGCTACTATTCCAATCTATTCCAGAAGGAAAACACCATTTATACATATACATATATATATATAATGTATATGTGATATATATGATATATATATATATACATGATATAGATATATGATATATATATATACATTTAGATATAATATATATATATATATGTATGATATTTATTTACATACATATATATATGTGTGTGTGCGCGCACTATGATTACTCCTCATTACTCCTCATTAGTCTTTTTGAACCAGCAACAGGATACATATGGGTTATGTCTATATAAGTTATATAGCACCTACGGTACATATATGTTGCTGGTTCCCTTCATGTTTCTTCGTTTCCAGAGTTTTTTTTCCAGCTCAAAGAAGCTGCGCTACTCACCTGCCATGACCCCACACCTTTCCTGTGCCCTGTGGGCCCTTTCGGTGGCCGCGGCCACCGCTTCCAACGAATTTCTGGTGCCCAACTGGGTGCCTTCCAAGCGACTTCGGATACGCAATGCCTGCCAGAGTGAGCCGGTGTCTTGGAATGTCTTGGATGGGGCCGGTGATCACACTGAGCAGTGACCCAAGAGTTTTGGTGGCCTATTTATAGGGAACATTTTAAACTTTGAAACTTATTATGGGAACCTAAGTTTAAAGGCATGACAGAGGGTACTGCTCAGATGACCAAACATCAGCAGGCAACCATGACTCATTTCTTGGAGATATGATTTGAATTGATTTGACTTGGTTTTGTTTTGGGTGACAAGCAGGTGGCCTAAATCAAGCCTATGGTATGGCGTGTTGTTTGAAAAAATCATGGACTATGATTAGTTCTGATCAAACGTTAAAAACATGTGACAAGTCTAAGTCAAGCACAGTTTTAATCTGATATTATATATGCGGTCAAAAAACATGTGAAGGAGCTGCCTCCCACAATGCCACAATGGGTTCCCTTAGGACCTGGCCCTGCCTGTGGGACCTGTGGTAAACCCAAAACATAAACATCTCATTGACCAACAAGGACTGCATGCCATTTTACATCATCCAATATACAGTAGTAGTAGTAGTAGCAGTAGCAGTAGCAGTAGCAGTAGCAGTAGTAGTAGTAGTAATAGTAGTAGCAGTATACCACTGTACTATAGTATGCCCAGTTTACTCATGACTTGTTTCTCATGTTGTCCTTTTTAAATAATGAATTGTAAATCTAGGAATATGTATGCAATCCTGCGGAAAATAAATTTTGTTTCATAGAAAGCAGGAGCGACCCGTCTGTATTTGATCCCCCTCATCTTGAAGGGCCACTTTGAACAGAACCAAAAATTTAGCGGTGGCTCCCGTTTGTGTCACATACTTGTTCATGTGAGGGCCCAAAACCCTGCAAATCAGCAGGTATCATTGATGCAACTGACCTCCCCCATCTTAAGTGCTCTTGGCTGCTCTAAGCCCTCAAGAGCATCATCAAATTGAGTAATTACTTGGGAGCTGATATGAGCAAGTTATGAGTTGAGTCCGTGCCTCTTGTGTGTTAAGAGCATTCAAGAGGGATTAAGAGTCGCTATGGGGAGTGTAAGAGGGATGTAAGAGAGGTGAAGAGGGGTGTAAGAGTGACTATAAACGATTATGAGGTGTTTTAGAGGCACTACAAAGGATTCAGAGGCCTTTATGGGCTCTTTGGAGTAGTTATTTGACTGACCTGCTCCCACCCCAGATAAGGAGGTCACACCCCATGATTTTTTCACAAGGCAATGCTGCTTAAATTTGGGCCACTCAGGGATGCAGAGAAGGGGCTCCTCGCTTTCGACACTTTGCCTTATGAATGGTGTTTTGCATTAATTGAATTGGCGGAACAGCCAAAGTCTGATTCATAACTATTTTTGGGGGTTCCGTGTTCAAGAGTACGAAAAGAACCATCAAAAGGTGGCCGTTCCTGTACCCAACTTTGCAACCTCCGCAGGTCTGGATTGCTCACATGGCAGGCCAGGGTATCGGCCCCGATCTGCAGAATGTGAAGATTGAAGCAAACTCCATGTGGGATCCTAAGATGCGCTTAGAACCACTTAGACCTCTAGGATCCTCTAGGGATTTCCAGTTTTTTTTGGCCTTATAGCACAGGATACAAGGGTCAGGGGGTTAGGATGTTCACGTCTTAGTTGGTCGGAAGACACCTCACAGCTGGTTTGCAGCATGTTGTCTTGGCGGGGAGAAGGTCGAGTTGCTAGATCAGAGGGTCAGGTTTTCTGCTGCGGTGGTTCTTCAAGTGTCCTCTCTTCTAGTCTTGTTTGACAGTGCACGTTTCTGGTCAAAGCCCTTCTGTGCTCTTGACTTTTATCGCAACATGAAACATGGAAGCCACAAGAAGCGGGTAGAAAATTAGACATTTTGTTGGCCCATAGGAAATGCGTGGAAATGTCTTCCAGCCCTTTCGGTGGTATCCCATGGTATCCCTTTTTTTCCAGAGAAGATGTGTAGAAATTTGGATGAAGAAGCCCACCCCAAGCATCAAAATAACGGTGGTAAGCATATGTTAATTTAACGTTTGGTTGCTTTGAATCCCAACATGTTTGGTTGTTTAAATTCCAAATTGCCGCTGGTTACTGTAACTGTAAATGCATGTAAACATCATATGTGGATAGAGTTTGGAGGCTAGGCTCCCAATTTTGGTTGGTTATGCTTTAACATTGCTGCTGGATCTCAATATTTGTTGGTATTTGTATGTAGGTATCGTGGTTGAATCTTGTTGAATCATGTTGAATCCCATTTTTGGATATGTTAGGTTGCTTACCCCTAATACCCTCTGGTAAAACTAACATAACTATGGAACGATCCACCATTTTTAATGAGAAAATCCACTATAAATGGCCATTTTCAATAGCTATGTTTGTCTACCAGAGGGTAATAAACACTCACCAGAACCCATGGTTTAGTCGGGGAATAAAACACATAGTGGAATTATTGGGTGTGTTGAATGTGAATGGGGATGGGGTTACTCAGTATATCCAGTTACAATCGCACTATAATACCATGGCCGGATTCACCAATTACTAGTCCATCAAATATCCCATTCATAGAACTTATATAAATGAAATGAAATTAATAGATATTATCACCCGATTCTTGATAGTTAAGTCTATTATGCTTGTTACTAATCCGATTCCTGATAACTAAGTCTGCTAAGTATGTTAAGACCCTATTGTTCATGATTATATCCCATGTTATCCCTATAAAATCCCTCTTTGATCCTCTTCACACCCCCGAAACGCCAAGGATTTTGTGACCCCCTCCAACTTGTCCAGCAGCTGGCTGCCAAAGACGTTTTTTGTTTTTGTTGGGGGGGGGTAACGTGGTTATGTGGTAAACCCAGTATAATTAATAAACACCATCCCTAATAATAAGCCCTAATATTACCATAATTGGATATAAATGAATAGTAAATACCATCCCCAAACAATCGGTTTTTGAGTGGGTTCACCACATTTTTTTTCGTAAGCCTAAGATGCCGAAGAGGTGCAGTTGATCATCCGTTTGGAAACGGATTTTACGCCACTCTATTTTTTTGGGGGGGGGATTACTATGCTGGGATATCAAAGGGGTATATGATGGTATATGTTTTTTTCTTCCGACGAAGCTCAGTCAGGGTTGAGAAGAATTTTTTTTGAATCATAGTCATAGCCACCACAGGGGAAGGAAACTGGTCACTTCGACGATCACCCCATGAGGCAATTCGTGGGATAACCCAGGGGGACCTATCAACCGTAACCAAGGTTTCTAATCAAATCACTAAGTGAGGTGACAGTGATCCTCCCGCAAATCAAGGTAATTATATGGAGTGACCCTCCTACAAACGGACATACGGACATATAGATATATGATATATATATATATATGGAAAAGCAACGATTTAAGGATGATAAGCCAGGGCAACCATGGCTGTTCCATACATGTATATAATTTATCACTACTCACAATGCGGGGCCTCACCAAAAATATATAGATTCAAAGCACGCACGAGGTTTCCATTCCATGGGATGCTTGAGATCTTCTACAGTGATGTTTTCATTACAAAATTCTGTGAATTGTAAAAACTTCACTGGCTGACCTCACGATAAACATGCTTAGCCAGAGAAAACTATCCTGAAATGGGCATAGGCATAGCTATTTCTTGTGATTTGTCAATGATAAATTCAGTATGTGTAAATCCCGAGGGACAACTGATCCCTATACAGTAGCTGAGTGGTGCTTCTGTCTATGGATGTACCATGAGGTACAGTACCTGCAGGCCAGCGACCTATATCCATGCCATGTAGATGTACATGAGGCTATGTGCCTGCAATTTTTGCTGGAACCGATTGCATGTGCATACTGATCCATCACGAAAAATTGGATGGTAATGATGTGCAAAAAAAATGGGAAAACGGGTTTGGGTAGTTTCAACACCAACATGCTTTGAAATTTTGTTTCCCATATGCTCCATGTATGGAATATTTACGAATGTTTGCCAACATTTACCCCATAAATCACCCAAATGTAGGTAAATATACCATACCTGGAGCATTTGGGTTTGTTTGAGAATGTAGGGTTTTCAGTGAAACCCATTCCAGCGGCATTCCTGGGAACCCCGCCGCCTTTTTTGAAGGCACTCGGTACTGGCCCAAGTTCCGTTGCGACGACCGCGGACGCTTGGCTCGGTTTGAGCTAAATGGAGGTATTTTGAATGGAACAATTATCGAACTATTGTGGATTTTCATGGATTTTCCACAAGCCATGGAGCTGATTACTGAAGGGTGCACAGTTTATTTGGTTGGTGAAAGGTTTGTGATTCTCTACTCCTACGTATTTAGGATGATTGGGGGGTGGCAATTTGACTTTCCGTACTTTTTGTTGCAGGGTTGAAACATGTTGTGACCATTTGCTTTGGGATTTCCCAAACACATGAAAGTGGCCTCCAACTCATGAATCAGGGTAGTTGTACACAAATCTGGATGCTTGTTGGTTGCGGGCAGGTGGCTCTCAAAATGTTTTGGTTGAATATCATTTTGTTTGTTAGTTCAATACCACCATTTACTTTATTATTTTATTGCTGTTGGATTCCAGTCCATTGGTCAAGTAAGCCCCAAGACTTTGAAGGAATACCCTCCAGTAAACTATCATAGCTGACATAGCTATGCAAAATGATGTAAAATGACCCACTCATTGATGATGTCCGTATTAAAACTGTTTATAGAATTTTATAGATATGTATATACTATTATTATCATTATTACATATTTCTATACATATATAATATACACACTATACACCCTTTTTCCCCATAGCAAACTCTTAAATTACCGGAGGGTAGTTATCAAACCCCAAATCATTCCTCCCCAGGAAACGGCTGCCTGATTGGCGAAAGTGGCGGCCCCGTTCAGGCCTGCGGCCAGGCGCCGCGGTCCACAGTGGGAGTCACTGATGGGTATATACAAATCACTGGGTATATACACCCTTTTATAGTATATGTAATGTACTGCATGGTACTGCAATCTTTGGCGCTTGCTTCTTAGGCTTACATGTTGTTGTTTTTTTTAACCCAGGTAGTTATCCGTAAGAAACTGCATGGGGGATGATTTGTTGCAAGCATTGGACGCCGCAGAGGAAGGGTGCGCACCCCCTGTCGATACCAAATTCGAAGCAACTTTTGGCTACTTGGCAATAGCGCCTTGGGTAAGTGGGGGCCTGATTGTTACCAAGTCAATTGCCATACTTCTATCTTGGTTAGAACAAAAGCATGGCTTGATTATTATGCTTGTTTGGGTTCCATTGATGTCGGGGCCACCTTGGTTTAGTTCGGGAACCAGCTCCAACTACTGTGGTTGACCGTTTTGACCCATACCCAGGGCCATACCCAAAATCCTCATTCCCACGGTCAACAGTACCCAAAGCGGCTACCAGTATGTGGTGTTGAAGGTACATGGGGTTCTTGTGCTTCCCATCTTAGGGGAAGTCTTGCAACGCTGGCTTGCTGGTCAGACCTGAAGCCAACCCTGAAGAGCATGCTCTTATTAAAGACCTGGACTGTTGGCTATTTGTGTCACCGCTACACCCAACATCAATGTGGGTTGTTCACTTATCCCATCCCTTTAATTAAGAATGACCCAGCTAAATGGGACCCAAAACAAAGGAGATCGAGTACTTGAACAGTTGAACCGTGGCTCTTGTGCTTCCGCCATTCGGCCGCTGAGGGGTGCAAGCGGAAGCATGCAATGGGGAGCAGAAAGGCTGTGACTGGGTGGACATAAGTTTGGTGGATGGCTTCACAGTGCCCTTCGAATTGTCCATTCATGGCACCTGTTACCTGGTGGTACTGGGCGGCACGCTGAGGACCCAGGGAAGGGGCGGATGTTTGTTTTTAGTTTGTTCGAAGTGGAGTCCTAGTCCTCCAGCACAGCTAATTTAATGTGAACATGATGAATCAATGAACTATGGGATTCTGTAATTGCCCTGTTTCCAGAGGAAAATCAATGGCGGCGGCTACTTTGAATCGAGGAACCTGACTTTGCAGAAAAGAAGGAGCCTCACTCAAGTGCAGAATGGCTGAGAATGTCCGCCATTTAGATCGATGATGATTGTTCCCATTTGTACAAATGTATCACCAGGGGATTTCCCAGCTAGCCATGTTATGTTCGATTATCATCGATTACATCCCATTCAACCACATTCAGTGCGATTAAATTCCATTAATGTGGGTAAAACAATAATAAACTACCTATTTGGGAATGGTTACCACCATTTGGATTGTATATTGTTTTACGCCACATTACCCACATTATATCTCTATTTGATGAGTCGCCGGATTGCCACCATTTGCCACCGCCGGACTGCGCTGAGGCTACAACGGATCTGGCACTTTGATCCAGGACGGTTCGATGTGTCGTTCCGGTGGATCATCATGGTGTACATTAATCATTTAATACTATACTAGATGACTAGATGCATACGTATATGTATACGATTGTGCATATATATATAATTATATATACGTGTGTGTGTGCATGTGTGTGTTTATGTATCGGTTTCAACTTTTTGCGGCTTTCAAGGCTGGCCTTGAATACGGCCTGGTGGGGAAGCGTTGCAGCTGAGTCTCATGTGAGGATTCTCAAAAGCATATTGATTGTTCTGGCTTGGATTTGTCACCTGGATGCGGCATTTGACCCCAGGTGATGCCAGTGGCTGATGGTTTATGATGGTTTACTGCTTTTGTGCCACTGATCTACCCAAAGAACAGCTACATGTAGGTTTGGAGTTAGGACCCATGGGAAGATGTCGGAAGAACTGGTAACTAGTACCTTTGAATTCAAGTTGGTAATATATAACTGTAAAATGCTAAGCCATGTTCAGGGCTTTTTGTATGCCCTTGATGGACCCACCTCCAGATTGACTTCCTGCAAACTAATCCTAAGTTGCACATTCCCTTCCAAGATTCAGTCTCACAACAGTTTGTGTTCTTTGAGGTTGGGGGCGATGCACAATTCTTTAGCTTGGGCCCATTCCCCTGTTGATCAGTTGTGAAGGTTTATTGGGACATCGGGTGCTGTTTTGCAGGGACTCAGTTGAATAGTGCCCAGGTCCATTGGCACTTTAGCTTGGTTCACGTCCACATTCTTGGTGGTTGAATCGTCGTTTTCATGGGTAAGTGTTCATTTGTTTGTTGTTTGGATTCACGGTTGCTGCAGCTGAAAAGCAATGAATTTCCTATACTCTTTTTGGTAACTTCAACTGGAATCCCAATATTTTACTGGTATGTAAATACACGTGTTGTGGCTACAGATGGCATTGTTTGTGTAGATGCCACAGTTTTGTTTTCGTGACGCAAAGTCCCCATGATAGGTACTTGTATGGGCATGGTTCAAAATGTGGGCATACATCGTTAGACAGAGAGATTTACACGGAGAGAGAGAGAGAGAGAGATAGAGAGAGAGAGAGAGATAGAGAGAGAGAGAGACAACATATACATGAATATAATGAATATACATACATATGCATATATGACATATGCCTACAATGCACACAGACATCATGTCCCGTTTCATGCCCATGATACTCCCTTCAACAAACGGCCATGGTGTGACGCTTGATGCCATGCCATGCGGGTTGAGGTATCACTGCCCAGCCTTTGAAGATGTGGCAGGCGACACAGTGGACCTGCGAGCCACCATGGGTGGCAAGGTGCACCTGTTGAGATTTCGCATTGCATTTGGAAGGGGGTTTAGCGTCAAATATATATAGGGGATTTCTATACATAACTAGAAAATATGGATATATGATTTATCATGAAATTTCGATAATATCTACATAATATCATATATAACATCTACCAGCCATGGCTTTTTCTAGACTACAAACCATTTGTTTGGTATCAAATGGAGTCAAAAAAACAGCAGCGACAAGTTCAGCTTGTTTGTTTATATGTTTGGGTCACTTGTTATGCTTGGGGTAACCTTGGATAGGTGACTTGTTAAATTTAAGATTCTAAATGTACCATCAATGATATTTAAACGATGATATATTGATGTTTAAGATTCTAGATGTCTAAAATGGGGCTGCTTCACTGTAGTTGATTGCTGATTGGTTGATCGGAGCTGTAGCTACAAACCAACTGGAAAGCTGAGTTTCTAATATGGGGATTCAACTAGCCCTCGGGATGCGTAGTTTAGTACCACCAAACAGCATAGATGTGAAAACAGCCATGGTTTCCCGTTCGTAAAATGATCTACATTCCCAACGGGAGGCATACCCGGAATACCCATGGGTGACTAAAGTGCAACGACTTAGATTTGCGAGCCCCCTCTCTCGGGAAACACCAATTGTGATGGGATACTGTAAACAACAAAAACATGCATTAAGTCTTTTGAAGTCAGTTTCTTGGGATTTATGAGAGCTGAACCACTATCCGTGTAGTGCCATTGTCGAAGGATCACATTGCAGATTTTTCAACCAAGCTGTCGGGCTTGTCGGAAAGTCTCAATTGGAATTTCTTTGCATCCCCGGTAGTCTGAGACTGCAAGCTTTGGTTGCCATTCAATGCTTTGTTCTCCCAAATGTACCCTCTGGTAAACTAAAGTAACTATGGAAAGTCATCATTTTTAACGGGAAAATCCACTATTTCTATGGCCATATTCAATAGCAAACTGTTAGTTTACCAGAGGGTATCTATGAGATGGAAATGCCTCCTCCAGTGAGTTTATCATAGTTCATCCATCCTCCAACCATGAAAGATATGAACAAACGAAACTTGTAAAGTATCTATTTCGTAGGCGCGTGCATGTACATATTTACAGGTACACATACACACGTGTGAACACATATATATATATGTATATATATATATAATGATAATATGTATTTATTTATTTAAGTACATACATAGCAAATACCAATACCAACACCGTTTATTTCAATCGTATGAGTACATGCAAACAGTCAAACATCATATGCCTCCCATGAATCATAGTTCCATCCCATGAATTCCCAAGAAACCAGGGCCATGCGGCAGGTGCTGGGTTGCTATTCGCCATGTAGCAAGATGACACTGCGACAATGGGACAACGACCTGGCGGTAGGCGATGGCTTTCAGGGCACTCTCTAGGGTCTTAAGGATTAGGACCATTGCGTCTTCCCGCTATGTCTTATGGGAATTCTCCCCTGGTGACATAGCCTTACTGTCTTAGTTTATGTCTTAGTTTCCGTTTCTTTGTTTTTGTCTTATGTTTTGGCGTCCTGAATAGAGCAGAAAACCCGACTGTGAGACGGTGAGTCACGCCTGGAAGATGTTTTGATCACTTTTGATGCCAGGATTTTGAGGACGTAAAGCAGCATAGGCGTTGTCTGAAATGATCGTTAACAGATGTTAACAAGAAAATCTATTAATTAATTGGTTTTAATATATGATAAAAATGAAATACATAATCAAGCACATTCGATTTCATTGTGATTTCAGCGAAATCTCGAATTCATGATCTATCGAGCTACAGAAATGATGGTTGATATGTTGGAAACCCATTGATTTCTTGGCGACACAACAGGTTCAGGAAATTTTGTAAGTAATCCTAGTAATCCTCATTAGATTTTAAGACATGAGACCCAAGTGGAACATGGGTGAAATAGATCGTGATACGGGTGATGTTCTTCCAGTTGTTGAAAGGTGGCTTCTCAAACATTGGACGTTGTACACCTTATTTATACTTATCATTGAGCATACATATGCATGACCCCATGTCGATGTCATTGACCAAACTTCTCACGCTCAGGGTTAGATGGGATGAGCGTGATCGTCATACATTGATGTTCATCCATTCACATGTTCTGCATGGAGGAATCATTTCTTCAACTTACTGTACATGATTTATATGTTTCAACCTGGTTCCTGTTTTCTTCCCTCATAGAGTACCCGTGGACCCGTAAAGTCTTAGCCATGCAAAATGGAGTGTTTCTCATAGCCGCGCCTGGCAGGACGTTCCCCAAAGGACCACGATTTGTTGCCGTACTGCTGCCCCACACCACCGGTCTCCCCTGAAGAGTGCAAGGCTGGACCGATCAGGTCAACGGAATATGTGGCTCGACATACCCGGCATGCGCGGTGCAGGAGTTCTATGGTGGGATTTTGATAAGCCACAAGATGGTGCCCCAGTTTGTTACTTGGCATATAGATATGAATACACATATATAATCATATATAAATATATCTATATTGAACTAGTTCATGGGTCTTATAATCCAACTTCCAACTGAGTCAGCTAACTTGGTTTAGTTCAGGAGGCTGACTAGGACCAGGATTTATGGTAGATAATGCATCGAACTAGTTACATACATACCCACATACACTGGAGCCTGATGTGAATTTGCACGTAAGTCACGTAAGTTCGACATGTTTGGCTATTATGGATGGGAAATCTTTAGTCTGAACTTTGCTTGTGTGCCTTTGAGTTGAGACTGGTGTTTGATCTTGACATTTTAGTGCAGCGGATCCTGTTTTCTTGTTTCACTCTTCACTTTCATGTTTTGCTTGGCATGTCTCAGCCTGCAGCCTGAATCACAGGCCTCATGAGCTTCTGAGCGCAGGGAAACAAAACAAAACAAACCCACATACACTCATGGACGCATGCACATTTACACACATATACATATACACAAATAGATATGTATATTTAGAAAAAAATATATCTATATATGTGCTCGGGTTTGGTTGCCCGATGAAGTAGGGTGGGGATATAAATAAATATATATATATATATGCATACATACATACATACATACATGCATGCATGCATGCATGCATGCATACATACATCCATACATACATACATACATACATAATCATACATACATAATCATACATACATAATCATACATACACAATCATACATACATAATCATACATACATAATCATACATACATAATCATACATACATAATCATACATACATAATCATACATACATAATCATACATACATAATCATACACACATAATCATACATACATAATCATACATACATAATCATACATACATAATCATACATACATACTCATACATACATACTCATACATACATACTCATACATACATAATCATACATACAAAATCATACATACAAAATCATACATACATAATCATACATACATAATCATACATACAGAATCATACATACATACATACATACATACATACATAATCATACATGCATAATCATACATACATAATCATACGTACATAATCATACATACATAATCATACATACATAACCATACATACATAATCATACATACATAATCATACATACATAATCATACATACACAATCATACATACATAATCATACATACATAATCATACATACATAATCATACATACATAATCATACATACATACATACATACATACATACATACATACATACATACATACATACATAATCATACATACATAATCATACATACATAATCATACATACATAATCATACATACATAATCATACATACATAATCATACATACATAATCATACATACATAATCATACATACATAATCATACATACATAATCATACATACATAATCATACATACATAATCATACATACATACATACATACATACATACATACATACATACATACATACATACATACATACATACATACATACATACATACATACATACATACATACATACATACATACTACATACATACATACATACATACATACATACATACATACATACATACATACATACATACATTACATACTATTTGTAATATACATTATTTAATACAACTTATATATAACATAAAATGTTTAATGTGTGTTTAGATTTATATAATTTATTTTCAATGTGTTTATGTATAATATATATATATATATCATGATTTATATCTAACATAATCTATATTTAATATATCTATGTGCTTTGTATATACATATCTATATATATATATGCATGTTTCTGTGTTCTGTTTGTTTGTTGTCAGCACTGTAGGTCTTCGGGATTGCAACCAATTTGACCCCTGGAGCTTCTGAGAACCGCGCACAGACGCTGGGTATCCTCCTTGAAAAGCTTCAGCTCCTGAGGTCCAAACCCTCAAGAGGATGTGCCCTGGCGTTTATGGCTTCGCTTACGATGACGGCATCTTGGATGAACAGCGGCCAATGACCCAAGGTGAATGGTGAATCTATATGACTTGAACGGCGAGCCGAAAGGAACATGGGTAATTGCTGGCTCTGTTGCTTTGAGGATATGGGATCCAAAGAAATGGGGGAACTATAGATTCCATTATGAGCAAGATGCACTTTTTCTTTTCGTGATTCCATTGGGTCCGGTAGGTAGTGACATCATATTTTTATTCACGGTTTGTAAGGTATGAAATTTTATGTTGAATGTCATGGGGTCCGAGTCGTATCACACAGAACTTCTATCTTTTCAAGGTCTGTCCATATGTTTTTGAAAGAACAAAATCAAACATGTTTTTGATAAATGGATGCTATCTGATATCTAGCACCTGTCCTTTTGGAGTGATCGTTGGCTCACTGATGGGAACAATTCCATTGGAGTTACGCTCAACCGCTCTGAAAAAAACTTGCACGAAATCTGTGGGGCGTAACATTTTGCGCTGGAACGTGGAAGCTGAGCAAATTGGTGGCATCCACATAGCAACGAAAATTCATAGCATAGCATGAAAAGCGTATTGGAACTTGCAAAGAAAGGTCCTAGCGTATATAGCATTAAAAACGTGGTGGAAATTGCAAGGAAAAAGGGAGGGAACGTAGTTTCAAGAGTGTTTGAACCAACTTACAAGCGACAAAACGTTATTACGCCCCCCCAACCCCCCCACCCCCCACCATGATCGTTGCATAAATTCTATATTAGTGCGCAACTTCTGCATGATGTGCAAAATAAGAGGCAAACTAAAAGGAAATGAGAGTGAAAACGGGCTGTTGGCACAGCGAGAAACAGAGAATACGCTGTAAAAAACAATACGAAATGACTCTAACATGCATAAAAAATCATAAAAATACGCGGCCTTCTACCAAGCGTCTGCCAACTACACAGCCCATAAGTTTGCATAAACGTTGCCAAATTTAGATGGCGATAGAGAGACGAGAGGTTAGTAATTGGGGTATAACCCCGCGAAGCGTTTGGGACGTATTGTGATGCACCTGAGATACCAACCCCTTCCTCCCAACATTAAATAACCAACCTATAGGGACCCAAGGGAGAGAGAGAGAGAGAGACCCTAGTTTAGTACTGGATGTGTTTGTTTTGGGGCCCAAATGGGTCGTATTGAATATTAGGGGAAGGGGTTTAAACACTTTAAGACCACTTCTTAATTTCTGGCAAATTTGCCCTCCAACAATAAAACAATGGCATTGGAAAATCACCCATGTATAGATGATTTTCCCATACAGTAGATGTTTTTCCCATTAAAAAACATTTATAGAGGATTCTCAATTGCGATGTTTGATCACCGCAGGGCAAGTGAAAAATCATGAAAAATCTGCACAGAGCGCATTCGGCACGGCGACCTGAAGGTATGGGACTCTTGCGCTGCGACTCTTCCACCAAGTATTTGTTCACCGTCTCTATGCTGCAAAGATGGCGATTTCATGGGGTTTTAATGAGGTAACCAACCATTTTATAGGGAAATAATAGAGTCTTATCAAACTATAAGTGCATAGCCGCATAACTCGACTGGGTGTGTCTAAGAATAGGGATAATATGGTACAGTATCCCACCTCAAAACAGTTTAAATGATGATTACTGTAACCGGTAGATTTGCAAGTACCGTTCGTTCAGAATCTTTCAGGCAAACCAATATGTTGTTTCTTTAGCAATTGAACAGTCAAATAGACTACATATCCCAATTCGTACGCAGGTACATTTCAATGGCTCGCATTTGGGTGAGGCACACGGTAAACTTTACCCCCAAACGAGATTTCTGTTTCATGATGGATGCTGGGTCCTCAGACATGTCAAACATCAGCCGTGGCCTTTCTGTGACAACATCAAGGTCGGCTGTCCCAAGACCCCGGATGTGGGTATCCCAGATGAATTGATTGCCAAAAGGACCCATTTGGTGATGGGTCAAAACAAAACCTATTGATCCTATTGTCACAGATTATCGCCCCTTTTTTGTGGGGGAATAAACATCTATTAACCAGCTATTTTAGGGTACCTAGGGTACCAGGGTTTTGACTCATAGCCATTTGCACGGGGAAGTGACGACCACATTGTGGTGCCAGGATGTGTGACTGGTAGTCCCCGGCATGTGTCACTGATAAGGATGTCAGTTGCCAAATGTCAGTGTCACCAATTAGCATGTAACATTTCAGTGTCACCAAATATCAGAAAATTCAACATCATTCAACTTTTTTTTCATTCCAAGGGATTTACATTTTCATGCAGGGGAATTGCAAACATATAAGAAGAGAGGACATTGCATCATTGCATCACTGGTTGGTGGTTCAAACATGTTTTTATTTTCCACAATGTATATATATATATATATGGAATAATCATCCCAACTGACTTTCATATTTTTCAGAGGGGTAGGTCAACCACCAACCAGATCACATTGTTTTGTCCTGGGTGACCGGTATCAAAAAAAAACCCGGCGCCGGGATGGTAGCCCCATGTGATCCCACAGCAATTGCCACATTCTGAGATGGGTTGCTCAGCCAGTACTGCTTTGATTTCCCAAGAAAGCAACTAGAGTAACTAGATATGATATGTCATTGTTTGTTTGAAAATGTTGTTGTTCCCCTAAGCCAAGGGATTATCATGAATCATAGGTGTCTTCAAAGTGCCGATGTTCAAGGTACACCCAATGTTTTGAGAAACCCAACTGCAAAGGATTGGTTGACGCAGACAATCGAAGGACCTCCCTCTATTTGATGGTACATTCTATGGTTTCCTCTTCAATTTCCCTCAAACTACTCACTTGAAACCTCACATTCTGAGCACTTTTTGGGATTTGACTTCAAATTCTGGTGTGTTGAATCAGTTAAATTTCGCATGTTGCTGGTGAATATTCCCCTTAAACCAATGTCGAACATGGTCGAACCTTGCAGGAAACTTTGGAGACTTCCTCCTTTGCCCTCGGTGCCCACCAAAGGCTGGGAGATTGTTTTTGGAGTTCTGACAGGCATTGGTGAGTCATCATTTTGAGGTTGCCAGGGGGTACAGTATACAGAAAAAACAACATTCTCAGACGCCCACAATGTAAAAACGATTTAGTGGAGAAGCCTGTTATTCCCATCATATTCCTACCATATTCAATGCATCATATTGTTACAAGAATTCAACCATTTGGTGGGAGTATGATGGGTGTTCCATATACAAACTAACAGCCTGCCATTGGATGGGAATATCATGGGAAGCCTAGATATATAACAAGTGCTAACAACAAAACTGTATGTAATAAACCAGTCGCATGCAACCTTCCAGTAAATTTTAGATAGGGAAAACCATGGAAAACCCATGGGTTGTAAGGAACAAGATCTACAAATTGTGTTTTGCTCCATCTCCTGCTCACTGGAGAGTATATCTATATTTATATGCAGCTTATATAGGCACGAGGGGATATTAGTAGACAACCAGCATGTAGCTAGAAACTATTGCAATATATACCAATTATGAATGAATACCTTCCGGTAAACTAACATAGCTATGGACAATTACCATTTTAATTCCACGGTTTACCTATTGAACATGGTGATTTTCATTGATTTTCCATATATAGCTATGTTTGTTTACCAGAGGGCAAATCCCCACTAAATCACCATTTATATTGGTTTCAATCCCTCTATATAGGTCACATTTTTTGGTTCTTAAATCTGCCTTTTTCATTTACCAAAGGGTGACCATCCCATCATGTTATCTCGATCCCAGGGGTCCCAGGTTGTCACATCGGCGCCGTGGCCATTTGCCCGGATGGCGGCCGTTGCAGCGCAGAATCGCCTTGCTGTTCAGATGGCAGGGGCACTTAGTGCAAGGTGGTTTATACCTCGGTTATCTATGGTTTATGGTAAATAAATATATCATATCATATCATATCTATATCTATATACTTAATTTGGGGTTTAGTTCCCGGATTTGGATAAGGGGCATCACGGTTGAACCCCCCTTAATGTGAAAAGTGATAAGCCCAATGCCGCTGGGAAAATACATCTTGTTCAATGGCAAGGTGCCATAAAGCTACCATTGGATGGCAAAGTTACCATCCTGGGGATTGGTTTATTGGGTTGCCTACTTAGTTACTTTACTTTATAATATATAGATGTTCAAACCAAGGTTTGCTGTAGATGTTTCCTCAATGCAATTCAGGAATTAGTGGCTTCGGTTGGGACCACAGCAGAACTCCGCATGGGATTTTAAATCGGATTGTAGCCTTTGATGTGGCCAAAAGTTGGGATGGGACCGTTTCATCAGAATTTCAAGCGGGTGACCAAAGCACCACTTTTTTTTATCACCGGATCTTGTCACAAACATCGGCTCCGAGGCAGCTTGTGCCCCTCGTGGGGTGCGATGGAAGATGCCTCGGCTGGATGCCCACAGCCCAAAAGGCTCACGTGCGCGGCTTGCACCGAAAACTTCGTGGTTTGAGGTGAACATACACCAAAACATATGGTGATAAGATAGCAGCAATGGGCTCTAGCAACTCAACTTGTCTTGTGTAAATATATATATATATATTACATAATTATATATAGAGATACAAAACTGCATATATAATTCATAACAAAACATGGTAATACAGCCAAAAACCGACCTACAAAATGGTGTTACTACATGTAACAATCAAAATGGAATAATTACCAACCAGCATGATTTATCAATATTTCCCCAAACCATCCAAAACCGTTGATTCAATATGGGAAATAGACCAGCAAAAACATGGTCAGTCGATGTCAGTCGAGTATTCACCACGAAACATGTGGCTAATATGATAATAATGAGCGATGGTTGGTTATCATTATATGATAATGTGAATATCGTTGATTTACGAGGGTTGGTCATCATTATATATAATACAATATTTAAGTGGGTGATTCCACATGCTTGAATAATCATAAGGTGTGCAATAACGGATGCCCCCAGTAATCAAATAATATCAAACATAGCAATGCAAAATCACCAATTTATAGATGATTTTCCCATTGACACCGCCATTTATACTGGATGTTCAATTGCCACGGTTGATTCCCAAAGTAAACCTCTAATGTAGGTAAAAAAAACAACAATAATAAACCATCCCCGAAATCACCATAAATAGGTGGTATAAACCATTCCCAAATGGGTGGTTTATTATTGTTTTACCAGAAGAGAGACTGAATTCGTGATGTTTCCCTAGGAAAATGATCTACAAACGGTGGATGATCCACATCTATGTTAGTTTACAGGAGGGGAATAGATATATATATATATATAAATCTGAACAGCTCTAAGACGAAAAGGTTCAGAAAGTGAATTACAATTTCAAGCTACAGTTTCTAGGCACGAAAAAGGCTTAGAAAAGTGTAAGAACGGTTTCTTGACACGAAAAAGGCTCAGAATCAGAAAGTGAAAGTGCAGTTTCCGAGCACGAAAAACTATCAGAAAGTGAAAGAGCAATTCTGGCCACGACAAAGACTCTGAAAGTGAAAGAGCAAGGCTCAGAAAGTGAACCTACAGTTTCTAGACATGCAAAAGTCTCAGAAAGTGAATCAAAAGTCAAGATTGTGCAAGTTACATTGTAGCCGTTGAAGGGTCAGAGCAATGAAAGTATCAGATTACAAGCGTTGATAGCAGCGCAGTGGTGGACGAATAGTGACCTCACTGGAATAATGGTTAGTAAGGGGAATCATGCCTTAAACGGCCTTGCTTCAACTAGTTTCAGGGTGAAGTATTGATTTATCAACCAGATGCATTCTGGATCCCCATTTCAAGCTCCCCTTGGAGCTGGGGATTTCACCATGGTGTTTCACCACCAATGGATTGCCAGCAATGCGGTGAATAATTCGGCTCCTGGTTTCCTGATGTTGGTCGGTAGAGTCCTCCACATGCAGTCTAGTCTGTGTGTTAAAGTGCGCTGAAATACTATATGTATATATATTTGTATATATATATATATGTAGATGGTATACGTTGTTTTTTTCCAGTGATGGTATACGTTTATTGAGGATGCTGAATCTTTGTCAAATCCAGTTCAATCATGTTGAATCCTTTTTGGGTTTCCGATTTTTTGTGTCAAACCCAATTGAATCCCCACTTTGCAAATACCTTATTTAGAGATCCCCCAAAATTGGGCTGGTGAAATCATGTTTTTTGCTGGTGGGATGGATGTCCTAGGTTGCAGAAACATCCTGGCCCAGTCTGGACATGTGCGAAGTGGGTGATTTCGTGCCATGCCCCGTGTCTGGTCCGCAGTTAGGATGGCTCCAGGAATCCCCATAGTGAGCCGGGTACCGTTTCAACCAGTGAAATGACATAGGGTTGTGATGGGTTGTGCTGTGCCCACTGTTCAAGTGGATTCGTCTTTAAAAAGGAGGATGCCCCAAAATCCAACGTGTTTTCTGGTCATGTTTCATGTTCCTAAAGTGGCGCCAAAGAATGGAACATGAGTTTTGGAAAGACCCAAACGGATATGTTGTAAAAGTTGAAGGATACGACAAAATAGCCATGGGATATCATTCATGGAAAAAAACCTGATGAGCCACTATGAATGAACGGATTTGGTTGGCAGCCATTGTCTCGTTTCTGAGTTGATGGGAAACCTTTCCCGATATATCCCGATTTCAACTCATTTCAATCTCCATAGAAAAAGATATGGGAACCAATAAGTGTATAGTTTAGTCCTCGGAAATTGGATGACTCGGAGATTTTTTTTTTTGGTTTCCCTAGGGCATCGCAGGTAGCAGGATGCTTGGGTCATGACCAACCGGAGTGCGAGCGCCGTCCGACGGACCCAGGACTTGTCGTCCGGCATTCAGTACTTCTGCGCTGGGAGATTTACCGAAAAAATTGGCTGGGATGGGCACTCGGGTCACTTGAGTTTGAGTTTTTGGATGTGGTTGTCTAATGATAGATCCATAGTGCTTTGTTTGATTAGTTGTGGATGATGTTTGCTGATGTTATAATGTGGCATGTTATTTTGCCTGCAGGTAGGCATGCAGATATGTGCGCATGTTTTCGCATATCTACACTACGCTTTATGTTATTGTTTTCTGCGTCTGGTTTTGATCATTGTTTGCATGTGAACTATCACTATCTGGAGTGATGTTTCATCTAGACACACAACGCAGTGCTGGCAGCCAGCCTCCTTGGTTTCCATTGCATCCGAGCTGCGTAGTACTGACTGGAGACATTTCACTGGTCGCTTTGAAATTTGGTTCATTAAAAAAAAACAATATCGGGTTACCTCTGGTAAACTAACATAGCTGTAGAAAATCACCAGTTTTAGTGGGTAAATCAACTCTAAATTGCGAAGAGAGAATTAGCTACCAGGCAGCTACCAGTTAAATTACCAGAGAGTATCGGGTTACGAATCCAAACCCAGACATAGACAATGTTTTTCAGGTGGCTTGTCACCAGTTAGCTATGACATGTTGCATATACATGTTGCCATATAATATATACACATATGATGCGGGCATTGCTCAATATCAGATCCCAAGAGTGTTTGACCCTGCATCCCCGGGTCCCAATCCGTGAAAATGGCGATTTTTTCATGGGGGAAAATGATCACTATCCATGGATATCCAGCCAGGATCTTGGGGCACCCTTGTTTTCAGAGAAAGCCATTTCAGAGCCATTACTCGTTGGTTGTATCGAATATCTCGTATTGTCAACCATATTTGAGATGATGACGCCCCAAATAACAAATTCTATATTTTGGGATGGGTTGAAACGACCAGATGATGATTCGAATGATGATGTCAAAATGGAAGATGCACTTCATGTAACATCACAAAGCCATTCCACTGTGCATAGCTGCATAGCCACACTGCGCCTAGGAACACGTGTTGCCCTGACGGCAGCGCTTGTCCTTCAGCAGCAACCAGTCAGCTAGACGGCTGCAGCAAGAAGAAAACCAGCTGTGTGAGTCAGGAGATAGTGACGTGATTCAACATGGCGTTATGGGATGAAAGCTGGCTGTTTAAGGTGGGGTTCTTGAAATAGGGGATATAGGGTATTCCAAAGTCACCATGGCTTTCAATGCTAAAGTTCCTAAAGCTGCGAAGTCATGGTTTGATGATTTGGATGATTTGGGGTAACCGGGTAACCCCATCTTAGGACACGTCCATTTGGATGGATTGCATTGCCACAAATAGTACTGTTTTTTCATTTATCCCATAAATTCCAAACAAAACTTAGCAGGAGATCGACAAACCACCACGGCATGAGTCAAAACTGAGGCGACTGGACATGGATTATTAATTTTAAAACATGGCCAAAATACATAGTCCTCGTGTGTTAAATTTTGACCCATGTTATATCAAGTGATTTCTGGGACCTTAAGGAAGTCGCTAAGCCGCTCAGCTAAGTGCCAGGCACCTTTGACGGGAAGAGTTTTGTGTGTTTTTTTTTTCCGGTGTCGATGCAGCTCAGAAATTCATTTTTTGGTGGGTCCTAGATTTGATGGGCGCAATGACACCTTTTCAACCCAGGCCAAAAGTGCCTATACATTGTAGACCTTTTCAAAAGAACGTAGGTCAGGCTCTGTCCACCCCAAACAAGAACAGGAAAGAACCAAAGCGAAAAACAAATCTTGGACATACATTCTCCCAAAATCAGGGGGAAGCAAACGAAAGACAGAAAAGCCGTTTGCCACTATTAGTGAAGCAAAGATAGAGTTGTTGGGTGTGTGCGGCATTTGATCTTACATAATATATATATATATATATATATACATTTGCAGTTTAATATAATATAAATACATATACATATATTATGTATATATATACATACATAATATACATATATACTATACCCCTTCAAGTCGTTCGACCTTGGGAGCTTGCAGTAGCTTTCCTTGCACCTCCATTTGCCCTCCCGTAATCTTGCCTGGAAAATTCTGATGCTCCTTTTGGAAACCTGGATTTCCCATTGCCATGTGTGTTTTATGAGCAGGGTGTAAATCTCTTGCCTAGCACAGAAGGCTCAAAAAGTGACCCTTCTGTTGGCGCGCTGCAACATGCTGCTACCTGGGAAGTGGCGATAGCTGTGTGTGGTTTGGTGATCTTAAACTTGAATTTCCGGACTGACAAAAAACTCAAGGAACCGAACAAATTAAATTAGTCATTTACCAATATTTACCATATTTTAGACATATGATCCTCATGTTTAAATGTTTCGGGTGTCCAAATGAACAATGTTTGACCCCTAGTCTTGTGTTCACGTATTGGTAATCCGTTGAAATGACCACTATTTGACTCCAGGCCTTAGGCATCCGCAGGCCTTTGTGCCCCCCTCGTTTTGCCGCGAGAAAGAGTGTAACCCCCCAGCTTAGTCATGTGACACCTGTGATAGGGGGATTCATTGGATTTCAGCCCGAGATTGGCAGTCCAAATGGGGGGTTGAGGTCGCAGTCGTTGCTACGACTACCCCGGTAGCAGCATGGTGGATTTTCCAGCCGTTGCTGAAATCCACGCGGCAGTTTTTCGTGGCGGTCACTAAGTGGCGGTGTGGAGCACAACAAAGGCACGATACATCACGATACAGCTACGTAGTGGACATTCATGTGTGCAGTGTTCAAAAGCCCGGTTGGTTAGTTGGTTGATGAATATATATATATATAGGTTATTAATGGGTATTATACTAACCAATACTTAGCGCAAAAATTAGGGGAATCCCCTAGCCAGTCAAAAAGGGACGACACAGGAAACACTGCTCATTTATCATTGCTGGCTAATGAGTTCAGATAGGATTCTGGCGATCCCAAAGAACCTTGACTGCAGGCTGATAGATGATGAGCTTCATTCCGATTTTTAAAGCATGATGATTGCGCATCTATCTATCCATATATTTATCCACCTATCTACCTGTCCATGTGTCTATATCTATCGATCTATCCATCCATCCTTCCATCAATCTATATATCCTCCATTCTTCATATATATATATATATATGTATACCCAAATGCGTGTTGTGTTGTCCCACATCTCCAGCATTGCCGCTGACATCGTTAATTCAATAAGGTGTTCCTCGCTGTGTGCCAGAAGCCACCCACAGAAAACCATTGGATTATTGCAGGAAAAAAATCAGGGAGGTGATGTCATTCTTGAAATCACTACCGCTGGATAGGTGGAATGGACAATTTACACTTGAAACATGTTGAAACCATCGCTTCTACGTCAATATATAGAGGCACTGTAGATTTTCCATGATTTTCCATTATTTTCCCATATCCCATTCTGGGAATGGAGTTGTTGATTTTACCATCATCTAGAGGAACTGCACAAAGTTCCAACCCCATAGTGTCCATATTCGTTTCGCGCTCAAGGAATTTCAAAAAATTAGGGAGGGTCCTGGTTTCCGTGAAGCCAATTAGGAGATACTACTGTAAGTCATGTTGGTAAAACCCTGCATTTTTGGTGATGAAGTCCTTGTCGTAATTTATCAAATCAACATGTTCGGTGGTTCAATGGTGCAATCATGTGTCCCTACACCTTTGAAAGCCAACACGGAACTGCAGAAAGAAAATCACCGGCCCATTATCTTCGCACCTGTCGGGACAACTTTCAGGAGGGACAGCGGAAAGGCATCAAACTATCATTGCATGAGTCATTTTGTTCAGCTCATGACATGCCTTGATGTGCATAACAAAATGGTGTGTTTATTTATTGGGACCCAAAAAATTGCTTGATGCAAACGTAAGGTTAAAAACATGGAGAAAAAACACATAATTAGCCGATCCTTGAATTTATATGACTGTACATATTTTTCTTTGGGATGGCATTGTTTGAGAAACGTTGTTGCGTTGATAGCGCAACGTGGGCCAGCGGTCGAAAAGTATTGCTGATTTGGACGTAGTTGGCCGTCCCTGGAAGTATCTGGAAGTTCCAGTTGACAACGTGTCCCTATATGATCCCTGGTGAATCCCCCATTCAGATCGAATTTCCAAGAATTCCTGGAAGAGTTTTTTTTTTTAATCCAAGAAAATGAATCAAAATGATGGTAGAAACTGTAGAAACTTTCATCTGTCCTGCATGTTTTCCTTGGTTCAACCTGGGCCCCTATGGGAAGATTCGTCTTGGGGATGGATCACGTAGGCAGAGGTCGAGGACAAGGAGACACGCCGCACCTGCAATTGGCGAAGAAATCGGGGAATGCCCCACTTCGGGTGGAGAAAACATGAGAAAACAAGGTGTTGAGGGTGCATGCTGTATACACAAGTAATTTCAATTTCATGTGGTTCCAGTATACATTATAAATACATATAAAATACATACCATACCATGATTATGCCATGGTCAAAGGCGTGTAGTTCAGTAGCCAGCCTGTAGCAATCTGCAGCATGTCCTCAGTCGGATTGATCGTGACCATGACCAGGAGTCTAAGACCGACGCAATGGCGAAATCCAAAGGCGCCTGTTTGGGTGCTGGGGGTGGTCACGGTTTCCCCCACAGACACCAGTGGGATTTTGCCATCCAAATATACATCTTGTGTGAATCACAAGTCACTTGAGGTCACCTTGTGGCACCTTGGCATCTTGGCTGTCAGCAAGCTGCCAGCAGCAACCTACATATCCTCTGGTTATTTAACACTTTGCCATGGAAAATCACCATGCTATTAATAGGTAAACCATCTATTTCTATGGGCCATTTCCCATGGCTATGTTGGGCAATCTATGGGCACTCAACGAATTTTTGGTGAAACCAATGGAGCGCCCTGTGGTCGCTTCCTTCCTAGACCACATCACCGAAACCATCTTCGCTGTAGCCTGTCCCATCTTGAGAAACTCATAGGATCCTGAATGCTTCCCTTTGTATGCTCATTCTACTGGTAAAAAAGTATGAAGACAAGCTGCAAAAACATATCCGCTAGCTGTAAAAGCCATCAAAATAGCACAACAGATTACGATTTGAGACAAATTACCAAGATATTTCATAGACCAATCAAATTTCTTACCAATTACAGTATCAAATTTCTTATTATCAGTATATAGATACCAATTCAGTATCAAATTTCTTACCAGCTGAATATTTCGAGATATTCAGAGACCACCAAGAAATTTCATCTGCCGCCATGGGTGCCATTGGGATGAACTGCAAACGATGTGACAACGAGGAAGATCCTTTCAGTGCCTTGGCGGTGCGATCAAAGCTGCCCACGGTTGCCAGTGAGAACTAACTTTTTCAAACGTATCAACGTACATATTATATATATAGTATGTATAAGGCATAAATATATAATTATATATATATATTATACATATGATATATTATGCATAATTATATGCGCAGGCACAGTATGCATATATACATAATTCACATTTTGTGACCGGTTGCAATTGGTTTGCCTATTGAGCTTGTTGGGGTACTTGGGGTGTCTTAGTCGCCTTATCCTTGGAAGCTGGGAGCAGGGCTCATCGATGATCCCCAAGGATTCACTAGACAACATGAAATAAGCGCAGAAATCAAGTGACATAGCTAATTCAATCACTATTCATATACACATAAATGTATTATATAATTATATATATATATTATAATAATGATGATGATAATAATAATATATAATATATAATGTATAATGTGAACATATATATATAAAATGTATATAGTAAAAATAAGTCAATCAATCGATTGGTTTTATCCTGGACCCTGCTGCCCTGTCGCTGGGCACACCTCTAGGTTGTGGCGATGTTTCCTTCCGTCGGGAGGCGGTGCAGTGCAGCACCACAGCTCGTGATTGAAACCCCTTGTGCTGTAGCCTGTAACTATCAGAATATATAACTATGACTAACCAACATTTTACATTTGAAATATATATAAAACATTTCTACATAATGAATATCCGACACATTTCCTGACTGTTTCTATTTGGCATTGAATTATGGCCTTCTATTTGGCATGTATTCTGTTATTTTATGTGGCATTTTGTTTGACTCAACTACAATAGATTCAGTCACTTTTTTTTCCAACACATTGGTCCTGATATTGTATGTGACATTTTAACTTTTTCTCTATCTGACATATATTCTGGCATGTTTGAGGCATTCCATTTGACATTCTACATCTCTATAAGATTTTCTAACATCCATCTTGGCTAAAACCATTGGGTTCAAGGTGGCTACGGCGCCTCACCTGGCACGTGCCAGGGGAAAAACTATCGAAAATCAGGTTCCTACCACCAATTACCCTCCGGTAAATTAACATAGACCCTGGCAGATAGGGGTTGGAAGACTGGTTTCCACTAAAAATGGCTTATTTAAGGGTCTATGTTAATTTACCAGAGCGTATCCCATTAAAGCTGGAAAACGGATTTTCCCCAAATATTCCAGGATGATCGATCGAGCAACAAAATTGTAATACGCATAAACAAAGCTCTCACATAGTGAATTCAACCAAGCTAGCTAACCCAGCTAACAGTTGTGCATAAAACCCATGAAGGAGTTCGATATACTCGCATTTATCCATTGACCAACTGATCACTGTCTTGTCGCTTATCCAACTTAGAAGCTGGTTGCCCATTGACATTGCGAATATAATCCCATTGATATGGAATCTCATTCCATACAATGAGGCTTATTTTGGGGATATCACGTTATATAATCCCATTGGTATATATATATAATCCCACATATCCCACCATGTGATCATGAGTGTCATTGATCATAAGATCCCACAATCGAGAATACAATCAATGACATGATGGATATATATATATATGTCAAATCCCAATAATATCATCAATAACAATGATCATAACTCATATTCATCAATAAAAACCAAGTTAGAAACTATAAGTTATAAGTTACCATGGAATATGTCACCATTGATGTTACAAACAATAACCCATCGCCAGTGGGCCAGGAGGAGAAGACGTTGCTGGAACGCCTGGAGGGTCGCTGGGTGCGTAAGGATGGTCAGGAGATGGGCGAAGTCATCGGCGCTCAAGGGATGCTACGATGGAGCAAGGCCCGGTGGGCGCTGGGGAAGGCTGTGGCGGCTGAAAATCCATGGGAAACATGTGGTTTTTTGGGGGGAAAATCTGGGAAACACTTGGGAGAATCTTGGGAAAATTTGGGATAACGGTTGTTAATCATATACGTACTATAGTAACTATAGATTGACATTGATTGTGGATAGAGGCACGGCAAAGTTTAGTTTTTGTGCTAAAGACTCTGGGACAAGTGAATGTTTGGAGTGGGAGTGGATAGTGGGGATTGCTGAGCAGTGCGCCAATTTCATTGCATTTTCCTTGCAGGGTCACTGCCATCAAGTAATGACACTTTGCTGATGGCCAGCACAAACAAACACAAAAGATAGAAACAAGAAAGTTAACATAAGAAATGCAAGTATGCCTATGCCTATTTGACCTATCCGACCTATCCATGCATACATACATGCATGCATACATTCATTCATTCATTCATTCATTCATACATAGATAGATAGATAGATACATACATACACACATACAAATTTATATATAGACATATGCACCAAATATGCATACAAATTTCTATAAATTCGATGCGTTGACCGTCAGGCCTTCCAGGATTGGGAGAGTTGCTTAGAAGAGGCTGGGGTCTCGCGCATTCGACTCAAGATGAAACACACAGGACAGCCACGGGACAGGTGTTATGGTCCCAGCATGATCCGTGAAAACTGCCAGTTTTTGCGGTTTGGGTGGGTGGATGTTTCAAGTGTTTTGTGGATTTAGACCTGTGAAACAAAAATAGAACGAACATAAAAGCATATAAAAATTATAAAGCAGTCTGGAAGATGATAAGATAGTGGTCAATTTGTTCGCTTCCGAGTTCTATGTCTATCATAACTTCAGGGGCCATTTTTGGCTGGTGAAACCACAACGTTTGGCGCCACAAAGGACAAATTCATGAGGGTCAAGTGTATTTGGACCCGGTGAGAATACATTGGAGCGACGGTGAGATTTGGTTTCTTGACGCTTCTTAAAGCTTGAGTTCCGCAAAGCTTGGAACCTAAGGTTTTGCTGTTATGGTGATCCTGGTCATTATTGGAAATGATTCGGTATATGTTTGCCTTCTTTGAGAATGTTAGAATTCAATGACCGTGTCACACCGTGTCGTCAAAGTTTAAAGTTGGGATGTTTTTGTTTGGGGTTTCCTGGCCACACGTAGGTGTAGCATAGCTGAACAACATGCGTTTCACCCTGCTGATGAATTATCACCAGCTCCTGACAAGGGCAAGGGGGGGCGAGAACCAACAAAAATAGAGAAACGGGATTACCATTGGGCTACGTTCAAGGGATACCCTTTCGTAATGTAGCATAGCCATGGAAAATGGCCATATCTAAGAGGTAAGCCATGTACAAAAACCATACGTATTTCAGAGGGTATCATGAAAGATGCTCTGAGAGGCTAACTGAGTTGGGTTGGCAATTGTAGCAGCTGAATATAAGTAGAACAGTTGGAAATGGGGTACAGTAATTATATGGAATTATGAAGCATTCATCAAACTCTTGAATTTGAGAAATCCCGTTTTTTTCGAACGGCAATGGTGGTTCGTACCCATGAGAGTGAATGTGCTGCATTTGGTGTCATGCTTCTTGACGCAGAGGAAATTGTGAAAGCATTCCCCATTTTCACCAATAGACCAGATACTGGATACTTCTCCACAATTCCAATAGGGCACATTTTGCGGTTTTTGATGTATATGTTATAGTTTGCAGGCTGCCCTGCCCAGCCAATCACTGCGTCAGCTCAGCAGACCAAGTCAATGATCATCAGGCGGAAAAATCATTGTGTGTGACTGGTGACTGTGGAATCATTTGCAGCCATCGGCCCATGTGTGACAAATCTATTCTTTCCTGATCCACGGGCAGTTAAGGACGTCCAGCATGGCCTAAAGATTTCTAAAGAGCCCAGGTCCCCAAAAGTGCATCAAGTTCTGTTTGGTGGTTTGGAACATGTTTTGTTTTTCCATATAATTATTGGGAATAATCATCCCAACTGACTTTCATATTTTTCAGAGGGGTAGGTCAACCACCAACCAGAGTTCTCTGGTTGCTACCCATGTTTCGGTTTCTTTTGGATCACAGCGTGAATTTCGTCCACCAGTTGCTGTATCAGATCTCCGGTCAGGTGATTCCGCTCCCTCCCAGGCCCTGGTTTCAATGCGGTCGAACCGATGCCATGAAGCCCCCCGGTTGGGTGTGGTTCTTTGTTGAAAACCACTTGTTTCTGCGAAAAAAAACATAGGGATTGCTTTTGGCTTGGACATTGCCACATTAGCTACGAAATCGTGTCGACCCATGTCGATCCACATTTTGGACATGATTGCGTTTTTTCAAGTGCGTCATAGATTTGTTTCCCTGCCATCGGGGTATGATAGATTCTAGCAACCTAAGCATGAGATCACCTATATAAAGTAAATAATATTAGATAATTTATGATAATTTATTGTTGGTTATAACTTTTATCTCAGTTGAATCTAGTTGAATCATTTAGTTCAAATGGCAGTGTGTCAAAACCTTGTACCCTTGTAGTTCACATCAAAATAGCTGGTAAATGGATGTTCATCCCACTAAAAATGGTATTGATAGGTATTGATCCATAGCCAAATCATGTTAAATCATGTCATATCCCATGGCCAGGATCCTGCGGATCCCTTGGAAGAGGAAGAGTTCTATCAGGCGGTGTGTTTTCACGCTGAGGCCGAAGATAGCTTAAGGTGAAAACGAGTGTTTATGAAGGGATATATATATATATACCCATAGGATCCATGTATGCTATATATGGTAACATTTACCATCAATATATATCAATATACCCCAAATGTTAGCATATATACCATACATGGATCCTATGGGATATATAATTAGATATGATACATGAAATAACACATGATATAATATGATATATAACGATATTCACTACTGGGGTCAAGAACTCATGAAAATAACTTGGGGCGCCTCTTTGCACACGTATTTGTGATGGTTGTCGTGTTCTCGGAGTTTGGAACATATTCACTTATCCACCCAAGGCAACCCCATTTTTAAGTGTAAATCAAGTCTCCGGACTCCCGACCCAAGAGACGCTTAAAATAATAGGAAATGACTAAAAAATGACCCGTTTGAGCAAAAAAATATGGCGCTTAATTGTACGGGATATACATTCCAGACCATTCCATGAAATTCCATGTATTATGTGACGCATACCCGGCATGAGATGCGCTTTGACTGTGGCTCTATCACTCCTTCTGTTTTGCTGATTTCCTCATGTTATATAGATGATTGAAAACGTAATGCATCAGTCTTGAGGTTTCCATCATAGAATCCGTGTGTGTGTGAACTTACACTACTGCTTGGTGAGGGGGTGGTAAATTGTGGCATCCAAAGTAACTTACATAATCTTGCGGGGTTGCTTTGTTCAATCTTAATTGAACATGTCATGTGGTTTGCCGCAAGATTACCCTTTGATTATTTGACATAGCTATGGAAAGTCCCCATGTTTAATTGGCCAAATCATCATTTGTATAATCTATAAATGGGTCATTGTCAAGAGCTATGCTAAATAACCAGATGCTATTTCCCATCAAGTGGATTCTAATCCCATTAAATCCCCAATTAAATCTATGATTTTCCAAGATTTTCCCATGAAAGCCGAGCCAGGACCACCGGGATGAGCTCCTAGAAATGCTTCGCGGGAACCAGGTCATGGTTTGGAGATCTTATAGTACCATATAGTGGCCCAGAAAAGAGGATAGAACACTAATCTTGGGTGCATTTAGGATCTGAGATTGAAATGGTGAAAACCACACAGTCGACATATTTGACTGTCTTAAATGCAGGCCAGTAATGTATCACCAAAAAAGTCACAAGTTTGATCTATTTAGTAATTTGGTACGGTTGTTTTTACTTTTCTATCGTGTGGGGGGGGGGTACTTAAAAACGTCATGTTGATGTCGTCAATGTGAGTTACTTAATCACTTAATCGTTATCACCACAGCTGATTGGGTCTACGAAACCATTTTCGTTTCACCAACGGACAAGTAATCAAGGTAATCACCGTTCCTGTTTAAAACTGGAGTATATAGACCCAAATAAAGTTAAACCAACCGCAGCAGCAATACCAGCGAAGAAGTTTAAGCTGAAGGCTCTTCTTGTCTACTTCAGGGTGGCTATAACAGATGGCCCGCTGAAGACTGTAACCTCAACATGCTGCGTGTGGCATCATTGAATGGATTGGTTGAAGAACAACTTGAAACTCGACAGACATTTACAGTTTGCTCTTATCAATCAACGAAAAACATGTGTAAATAGTTCAACGTCGTTGCCTTAAGACTACATCTACCCTCTGGTAAACTAACATAACTATGGAAATCACCATGTTTAATGGGAACATCCACTATAAATGGTCATTTTCAATAGTTATGTAACAAATTACCAGAGGGTATCCCAAAAAAAACGAATCTGGCGAGGCCAAGCTCCAACCAAGAAGTGAGGGTCCAGAGCTGAGTCATGGCACCATGTGGCACCCCCATGGAGTCCCTATGGTTTCAGGGCGTCGCTTTGAAGATGTCCATATGGAAGGGCCCAATGGCTTAGACACACCCAAGCAGTACGGATATATGATATATGGTTTAATTAGTAACGATTTGATATGTCTTCTGTGTTGTAATGTGTCTTTTAATCATTCAATTGTGGATGTCTTTCAAAATGATCTAGACAAGTCTGAAAGAGCCAGGCAAGTTCTCCTAGTTGCAGTTTGTTCAGCGATAGGTGGAGTGGGGCTCCTAAACCAAGGAGTTGCGACCTAAGTGTGGACAGCTCGTAGATCGAACCGTTCATGGAGGAAGATATGCTGTTGTCTTCAAAGACCCTGAGAAAAAACAACTGATTCTATGGTGATCAGCAAATCCCCATTGACTTACGCCTTTTGTGGATGTCTTTTGGTGAAGACCAGTGCCTCTTGTTTTGTGTTGGATGCCTTTGGATTACAGAGTCAAACTTGTGGTGCGAATGCGGCAGCACCCTAGGCCACATGCTACATGAACTCCCTGTTGCAGTCCCTGTTCAACATCCCTGAGTTCCGCTTGGCCGTTTACCAGTTTGCCTCCTGGCTGGCTAGGTAAACATGGATACCAGATGATACCAGGTAACCTGGCTAGAGAAACCAGTGGATGTCAATTGCTAGTTAATTGTTATAGTCGTTACTCATTTGGTTCTTTATTTGTCTCATTTTCCTTTATTTTCCTGATCATCATTCATAGGTTGGAGGAAGAATTAGCTAGCGTGGTCTATGTTTTGTAGCCAGGAAGTTGTTGTTTTCTTCTCCAGTGCTCCAGTGCTCCAGTGCTCCAGAGAAGCAACAAAACCTTGGTCAAGTGCCAGGTTTTTTGGCTCCGTACATGGCACCCTGCTCCAAACTTACAACACTAAACTTGTATGATGCCATCATGCTTTAGCCATCTTTAGCCCATCTCACTGACTGATGGCTGTTAGGAATATCTTCCTGAACTGCATGGAGACCCAAGCCGGTGTACCCTGTCAGACAAATTCTATGCGGATTGGGTGAGGTTTGCCTGTGACATGTGATTGACAAAATTGCTGAGGTATATAATCAGGTAATCCTCTTACTTGCAAACAACACCCCCAAAAAATGTGTGTTTGCAGCTGCTTTAAGGATTGTATAGTCATAAGTCCATGGCTCGGAGAGAGTCTCCTTGTTCGATTCCTCCCATTTTCTTCACCCGTGGTGTTGGGCTGGTCTCTTGTATGCAGAATGATTTTCATAGTATCATAGTTACATTCAAAAAGTTCCATCCATACATTGGAAATTCCAAATTCAATCATGAATTTAATTAACCTGGTTATTTGTATTTTTCAACACCATGAACAGAAAATTAAGTTCCAAGTTGTTGCACCCAATAGCTGCCAGCGGCCTCTTGACACCCCTCTGGAATCCTCTGGACATCCCTGGACGGTCCAGGTATCCCCTTGCAATTGCAGCGCTTGTTTGCCGAGCTCCAGCTCTCACGGTCTTCGGCCATCAGTACCAAGGCGGGGAAATGTTCTGGAAAGCCTTTCTGGAAAAGCCATGGAAAACCCATGGAAAACCCATGGAAACCATATCCAACATCACCAAAGAATTGAACACATCTCTAACATTGAGCAGGAGTATTATATGTGTATAGTAGACCCCACCTTTGCCCCCAAGAATCTCCCGCTTGGAGCTACTTGTTTGCTAGTTCAAAAGTAAAGTGTCCACTTTTTCCATGGGTCACAATTCTTGCGACAAGAAGCTCATCTGTGATCGTTTGAGGGTTAAAATTCATGGGTTTTCCATGGGTTTTCCATGGGTTTTCCATTGGTGATGTTCACTGTCACCAATTTCTTCAACACGTCCAGTCCTGGTGAAAAACGGTCCGGCAGGAGTTGACAACAGCCTGCGGCTTTACGGGTCGAGATGCCATGGAACAACATGACGTGCAAGAGCTGTGCCACTTGCTGAAGGTTTGAACATTGACATTAATGGTGATTAATGGTGATTAATGGTGATTAATGGTGATTAATGGTGGTTAATGGTGATTAATGGTGATTAATGGTGATTAATGGTGGTTAATGGTGATTAATGGTGATTAATGGTGGTTAATGGTGATTAATGGTGATTAATGGTGGTTAATGGTGATTAATGGTGATTAATGGTGGTTAATGGTGATTAATGGTGAGTAATGG